AGTTCGCATTTAAAAATCATCGATTGCGATTGAATACAAGGCATATTTGAAACGAATTGAATCCTTGTTAATGCGAAGCATTCGCTACTGCATCTCGCACTTAGCGCGGTGAAATTTAATGGGAACTAATACTTTTTATTTTCCCTTTCTTCGGATCAGAAAGCAGAATTCAGACGTATTCAAAATGTCAATACTTTTTAATTGTTTCAGTTCGACATTTTATACAGGGAGATTATCCGCTGCGGACAATAACTCTTCTACTTTTCATTTAATATTCAATGATGATAAATAACATTTAATTGCATTCGTTTGGCTTTTTTTATTTCGAAAATAAGAAAATATATACCGGGGTGAGATTTTACCCATGACAACATTAACGTGATTTTCTTTGATGCTTTTTTTAAAAGTTCAAATATTTCGTCGACTCGCGGGATATTTATAATCGAAGTCTCGTCACGTTAATTACGTGAATAACACGTACTCCTCCGAGCGGATCGAATGCTCACCGACCACTGTCAGTGCCACGAGCGAATGTCCGGAGCGGACGGGATGCTGAATTAAAAAACAAGACGAAGTGAACGGGACGCGGACAACGATACATCATGCGTCTCCATACATGTCAAATTGTTTATTATAGAAGAGACTTTGATACGGCAATATATATTCGAAGATTTAACATTTAATACGTACTTTTATTTTTTCTGCTCCTCCCCCCCTCTCCCCCGCTCTTTTTAGACCACCGGCCATAGTCTGGCATAGAGATGGCAACTATCATTGCAGCACGGACATAAACCGCCTGAAAGTGGATGTAGCATGGACTTCCACCATATGCAGATTTTACCACCGAGACCTGAAAGTGGATATACTATCGTAGTTCCCCTCTCAAAATGGATGCAGATGGCGCCCTTTCCCAGTGCGGAAAGTCGGTGTCGCAGAAAATGTCGTATTGGCCGCTCTCAGGTTACTCTCTGTATATACTATACTGGAACGAGAACGGCCCTCTAGAAGAAAACGGGACGAGAGAGATAGAAAATTGTAACCAGTCCGTCTTTTTCTATCACTGTACTTTTCGAGCTGAAAACATTCGCTGTAATCAGTACTCAAATGTGAGTAAATATCGGATAATATATACGCGTGTATGGTAAGCTTTATAAATTTTAATAATATGGAATAGTAATATTTATTTATATTATAATATATAAATCGCAAATAAGTTTTACTTAATATAAAATTATATAAATCATAGGTTTTATGATTATTGATTATTGTTTTATAGTACATATAATTATAAGTTATTAAATGTGGCAAAATTGGAAATAGGAAAAGCAGGCAATAAAAATGGGCAAAAAATGTATTATTCAAGATTGTGTTAAATATCATCAATGTTTTTCAAATATTAGTTTTTAATAAGTATTTGTGTTCACTTTTACATCTATTTATATGTTTGAGCAATTATCCAAATTCTTTCACTATATTTATATACATATATATGCATAAGATATATATAAACACAAAATAATAATATATTTTAAATTATAGATTGCCAAGAAACAAGAAAGCATGCACAAAATGGCTTACTGCAATTTCTTCATATATACCACAAATAGATATATCAAAAGAAGTATTTATTTGTGGTGTACATTTTACTGATGACAATTTTCAACCAGCATCAATGGGATTAATGAAAAGAATGTTAAAAAGAACTGCTGTTCCTACTATTTTTAAGAATTATAACATTTTAAATCACAAAAAGGTAAGTATATATAAGTACATAGTTTTTAACAAAATATATAAGTATAAGTATAAAATAAAAAATACAAATATTCTTCTAATTTATAAATTATTATAGGATCATGAAGAACATAAAAATAAAATATTGAAAGATTTGAATGTTACATATAATTCAAACATAAATTTTAGTACATGTTTTGAACAGAAAATTGTAAGTAGCAATGTATTTAATCATTATTTATATCGTGTATATATGTATATATATACAAGATTTGGTATTTTTTAAGGAAATGATTGACAGTGAAGTACAGGTGCAATTAAGAAGCAGTGTGGATGCTGAAGTTCAGGTTTCTCCAAAACGTTTAAGACGATCCGACAGGGAATTAGAATTAGAACGAGAAAATCGAAAGTTAAAGAAACGTTTATGTCGTCGAGAAGAACGCATAACATCTATGAAACACCTCATTAAATATCTAAAAGACAATAAACATGATACTGAAGGTGTGATAGAAGTCCTACAAAATAATTTTAATGGTTTTTCACTTGAAGTTATGCAAAATGAGGTAAAAAACAGCGCAGTACCACCACGTAATAGAAGATACTCTACCTCAATAAAACAATTTGCATTTACATTATTTTTTTATTCTCCACGTGCATATGAATTTGTACGCAAGCAATTATGTTTACCGCATAATAGTGTATTTGGCAAATGGCTAAGTAATACAAACATCCAACCTGGTTTTCTTACTGAAGTGTTTATATATTTGAAAAATGAAGCGTATACAAAAAATTATTTAACAGATGTTTCATTAATATTTGATTCTATGAGTATTAGAAAAAGAATAATATATGATAAAACAATAGATAAGATGCGTGGATATGTAGATTATGGAGATATTCCTACAGAAGATTCGGAAGAAATAGCTACCGAAGTGTTGGTATTATTAATTGTTTCTTTTACAGTAAAATTTAAGTGTCCAATTGCATTTTTTTAACAAATAAAATGCCCTCAGTTGTACAAAGTGAAATTATGCAGCAAGCAATAGTTAAACTAGCAGAGATAGGCATCACTGTTCGTTCAATTACATGTGTGATGGTGCAAAAAGCAATTTAAAGACGTTACAATTGTTAGGCTATAATTTTAATTTGAATAAACTGTTTATAATTTTGCTAGCATATACTGAAAATAAAAAATATATTACTATATTTCTGTTCATCTAATACTGAGACACTTGTTATTGTTGTTCTTAAAGAAAATTAATGAGATATATGTATAGTTACTGTGTTTTCTTAATTTTAACTTGTAGCATTTTCCAAATAAAAGTTTTAAGTACAATACGATTTTATTCTGTTGATTGCTAAAGCATTTTATCTACATCAAGCCATGCAAATACTTAACACACTCTATACAATGTCTATTTTCTATTATTTTTTATACATATGAAATAATACACATATATAGGGCAATAAATGAACAAAACATTGCCTAAGTAATTAATTTTATTTATTAAAATGCAGTATCAATATACATATCTTATATTATTTTCTATTAACGAGAATGGAAACACGAAAACATTTTTTTTGTGCGACTACGTAAAACAACAATTTTATATATCACATCTGATAATAAAATAATTTTGATTATATTATGATTAATAAGAAGTTGTGGCACTTGACAGCTATTGACTAGTCTGTTGAGTCAAAAAGGCTAGTAGAACTGATGTTTGTAGGAAGGAACATAGAAAACCACAGACCAATCAAAATTTGCTAGACAGAGATGGAGATGGTACCAAATCAACCTTTCTCTTTTCTTTTGGTGGCCGGTTTTCTCAAGAGGGCCGTTCTCGTTCCAGTGTAGTATATAATTCACTGGAATAGACCCAAGCAGACCTGCTGCCATGGAACTACGTAAAATGATAGATGAAGAAATAGAGAGAAATTTCCTGTCTATATAAAGAAAGTAACTATGTAAGTAGAATCGTGCACCATTGGGCAGTTTCGGTTGTTATCCGAAGTGCTGGAAATAGAAAGACCATAGCTCTTTCTATATCTATTTCCTAACCTTTACGAGGCAGTTTATATAATGACGTGTGTACATTCTCCAGTTTTAGGGTGTCTATGTTCTTGCTAATGTTATTAATGAATGGTAAAGTGAGTGAAAATTCATATGAATTTAAAAGAAATTATGGGTAAATATTATTTTATATTGTATTGAATATATATATTTAACACACACACAAACACAAACACACACACATAAAATTACTTAACTAAATTAAATTCATATTTGGACCACCTTGTATTTGTTCCATTTCTTATATTTTAATCAATAATGAAATAAAATATGAAAATTATATTAAAATCTTATTAGTATATGTTATTATTTATAAGTATCATTATTTATTTATGAAAATAAAGGTTTTATTTAATATTTTACCCTAACTGCACCGTATATCCCTGATAGCAAATATGTTCAGAAAACATCCAAGGGATGTCCTGGAGACGTCCTATATCCTTAGGACGGCCCTGGGTGTTTCTGGACGTCCCCAGGAGATTTATGCTAATCAAATGGATTGCTTCAATCTCTTAAAAATGCGTTCTAATCGTAAATTTTCTTTTCCTTCTTTTTCTATTTCTTCTCGCATTAAAATTCTCATTATTGCATCCATTGGTCTATCTCTTTGTCTCTCTCTTTTTACAAATATTAATTTCTTTTCTAGTAAATCCTTTTTAGTTGAAGATTGTTTAATATTCACTAACTGAGAGAGGGAGAGGTTATTAGAAATAAAATAATAAATTAGTTCATTATAATTAATATTCTTATTAATAATAAGATATATAAGTAAAATGTATACTTACAGGATAAAGATGACAAAAAGTCTTATGTATATTATTAAATGAGGTTATATTAGCTGTCAGTACACATTCATTTAATCCATAATGGAAAAAAATATCAAAACAGCCAAATAATATTTAGTAATTTCATAAAAATCACTATACTATTTTATCCGTTGCCGAACGTTTTTAGCTAAAACATTAAAGATAGTATAACACAATGCTCTATAACCGAAGATTCCCGATCTGTTATAGAAAAGCTATTAGGTAGTACGAATTATTAAAAGCATCAACTTTCCTGTCTTATCTATTTTCTTTTCCTTGTTTACGCCTTTCTATGTCTATAAAATTACGTAGTAACAAAAACAAAAAATATTTATGCTATCAATAAAAAGAAACTATGCTAATAAAAGCGAAACAAAATGTAGGAACTTCATAAAATATTTTCAAACTATTATGTCTCATCAATGTCATCATCGTCATTGTCGATGTCGATATTGTATTTGGCTTTATATTTTTTGGCTTTCAGTTTCAGTTCGATGCGTTTGAGTTTCAAATACACATACTGTCGAGCAGCTTTCTCTTTTTCTTGTTTTTCGCGGATATTTTTAGCAAATTCCCTTTTTGGTATTTTTTGTTTTTCATTTCGATCGGTGCCTCCTGTTTATCATTTTCACGAAATCTGAAATATGGTATTAAGCCAGCGGCACACGGTGCTTGTTTTCATGCTGGATTGCTTGCTAGATGAAAATACTGCGTTCTGATTGGTGCATTTCCGAAGATGGATGGAAATGCACCAATCAGAACAAATGATAATCAAGTGGTATATATGAGATAAAATAAAAATAATCCAATTTACATATGTATTAATTAATTTAGGTAGACATGTTAAAAATTATACAACAAAATTGATAAACATACCTGTCTTATTATATATCGTCCTGAAAGATATACATTTTGTGCGCCTATGAAGCAATTGTGATTATATATTGCGTCTAATTCTTCATCTACTTTTTCATTATATCTACTTTTCATTACATTCATAACATATAAGCTGAAATATAAATGTATATAAAGAGATTATTGTACACATTTTACAAGATTAAAAAGAAGACAGAAATATTTATTCTAGTTTAATATCATATTTTAGGTTATGTAAAGTTAGGTTAACAATACAAAATAATACATAAGAAATCACTTACGTCGTTTAAGTCGGCCTCTTCCCCGAAGTCATGTCCACTTATTTTTTCACTTCCTTGCATTTTCGTTTTTAGGTCTGAGCAGAAAGATTGCTGTGATAGGCGTAATTGTAAGTCAACACAAAGCTCGATTAAAACAAAGTCCTTTTAAAACACGCGGGTTCTGGAATGGAACCGACAAGACCAATCGTTTCATGAGAGAGCATTATAGGGAAACTCCGAATGGACCTGAATAGCTCTAAACCGCTGTGACGTAGGAAATAGAACATAACCAAGTTTTCACCCTGATTGCCCCGATATAACTTCCGGCTAAAAGAACACCATCAAGTTCACTAGGTTTGCTCGGAGCGACTCCGAGCAGCTCCCAAGAGACAAAACGAACAAAGCTTATGTGTACCATGTTAGTTATTACTTGTATTCAGTTTAGAAAATGAAGAGAGTTTCTCAATAGTTTGTGGTTTTTATAATAGAATGTGTTCTTTTCAAAATATGTCAGAGGTACCAAAAATACTCGTAGGTGTACAAGGTATGTGTTACATGTTTTCTTTTTTCATTTGTCCTTCTACGGATTATTAGCTGTTGTTATATCTCTCAGTTCGCTGAAACTTCTTTATCTTGTAGACTCAATTAATGACAGTAATCCACGTGTCATAAAAGATGTTAAGCCGCGAAAATTGGCTTGTGACTTGAGATGTCCTTATTATGAGACGTGCGCCATTTATGGTTTGAATGTTGAAAGAGTGTTTCAAGACGGTAAGAGTGTTCATGTGAGAGTATACGCCGCTCGACATTAAAATTTAAAATATTCATGTCGTGCCGCTTCGATCGCGATTTACTGCAATGTATTACAGATAATACATTATAATAGTGCAAATAACAAATTCCAGTGTGTCAAAAAATTATACAAAACTCATCTACAAAACATTTCCCCTGCGACATACCTCAGCACAGTACGGAGAGCAATATTAAATTTCCGGTACCCGTTATTACTAAGACCGCGCATCTTCACAATAAGGAGATGGAGAGCACGAATTCGTTGAAAGCGAACGTGAGCCTGAATTTTCTCTTATTACTACCATGAAGATAATTAAAAATCAAATTAATAAACTTTCACTTTTCGATAGACCTCGGAAAAAGATGAAGACTGTCGATCTATACACAACAGTTCCATGCCGAACGATTCGGGACTGCTGAACGACAATTTCCATAATATGCAGAATCAGCACGGAGAACTGCGAACATCAATTTTGACTCCAACCACCATTCGGTGTAAAACCATTTATTTTCTTTCTACTGCCTCGTTGAATTTTCGCCCTCTCGTGGGCTTCATTGATCTAATCGCCACGATTCTGCTCGCAGGAAATTTCGAAGAAAATCGAATATACTCGCACCTTCCAAGGAGAAATATATGGGCGAGATGGGCATTGGTAGGGAAATACCGGTCAAGCAAGGCTACCTATTTAAACGAAGCAGCAAATCCCTGAAGGAGTGGAAGAAGAAATACGTCACGTTATTAGAAGACGGCCGTTTGACTTATCACTCGAGCTTGCATGTAATTATCCTTTATACTTCATTCACACCACGCGATAGCGCGACAGACTTATGAGAAGAAAATATTTGCAGGATTACATGAACGATGCCAACGGCAAGGAGATACTCTTCCAATACGTCACGGTGAAGGTACCTGGCAAGACACCGAAAGGCTCTAAGTCATATAGTGCTCAAAGTAATCATCTGTTGTTGATTTTGGTGATTTTCTAAGGTTCGTTTATTTTATTTCATTTTTCTAAGATACTATAATATCACATAATATGAATTTCTGTGCATGTTCCTGTTAAAACAGTTTGTTCTAGATTTGTTCGTTATATATATTCACATGGATATCAACAAAGAGGTATAACAGAAAAGAAACTTACAGAGAACAAAAGAAAGATAATTGGTGGGATGGTTGAAGAGCAAGTCAGGAATGGCGTAAAAAATCGAAGACTTTTAACGTCACTAAAATGTAATGTATTCTAATATGGAACTGTACAGTAGCGTGTAGCGTGATTTACCGATGGGTCTCGATTCCCCAGGAGTATCGGGACACATCCGTGCGTTATGACAATGATGCAGTCGCCTACGACTCACGCATATCAGGTGCGCGTGGACGGCATGGTCATCTGCTGAATTGCCGCTTGTCCCCTGTACGTTTGCCTACCTGCTGGTAGGTCTTAGTACGTCGTAGCTGTTTTGTAGCACTCGAGTCGTTCAGGTTCTTGAAGTGCCCGCAACCGCCTCCGCCGAGCCTTTTTCGCGGTCGCGTCGCCTTGCTCACTCCTACTTCTGCAAAGTGTGACTGCGTCAATAAAAAGCGAAGAAACGAAGAGTAGCGCGTAGTCGCACTATTTTAAAATTCAAATTTGCATACTGAAACTAATGTTATTATACGAAAAAAACATGTATGGGTATGAAACAGAAAAAGACGTAATTCTTTATGTTAAATCCATGTAGTCCAGTACGTACTTAAGTCCACTGTCGGCGGCACGGTGAATCCGAATGATTTAGCGACCGCTGTCAAGTTTAGAGTTTCAATATTGAAGATTTGCTTCAAATGATGGGAATCATATGCTCGGACATACGCTTTGAACGCTTCTTTCGCTGAAGTGTGCAGATAATAATTTTTCGAGATTAGTTTCTCGAGCTAAAAATAAAGCAATAACATGTTGCATCGATTATGGACGACATGCGGAGATAAATGTTGATTAAACCGGTATAATTGTGAAGACTAGCTTTTTGCTCTCTCCTCTTTCTTTCTCTACTGAAACTAGCAGTGGCATGAATCATGTGCGTAGGCACATCTGCGAGTGTTTTTCCAGTTTGGTGTTGTCCAAAGAGAAAGAGAGGACATAAAAAAAGTAACACGGAGAGACAAACGAATTGTATTATACAGGGTGCACGATTTATCTGAAGACATTGAAATATCTCGAGAACTATGCATTGGATAAAAAAAAGTGGTTAATGAAAGTTGTTAGTCTCGAAGGGGGACATCCAATGATACCAAACTCGACCTCCCACCCCACCCCCTGGGTGGGGGTTGGGAGCAACTTTGAAATCTTAAATGGAAACCCCCATTTTTTATTGCAGATACGGATTCTACGCCACAAAATACGTAAATTTTGTCCGAAAATTTTTTTTTGATTCGTGATAGATGGCGCTGTAATCGCAAAAAATTATATTTTCCGCAATTCTCCAGAAATGATCATTGGATTGAGAAATAAAAAATACCTGTTCAATATTTTTAAAGAACATAGAGATGTTTAATATTTTTAAAGAACATACATAAAGAACATTTTTAAAGAACATTTTAAAGAACGCCGGATTTCTTTCTGTGGGGTTACCCAAAAAATAAGGTTTATCAACAAGTGCCAACAACTCGTGAAAACATGGTAGAACGCATAAGAAACGCTTGCACTGAAACTCCCGCAGATATGCTTCTATCCTGTGTACAGTCATTTGAAAAAAGGATCAATAAGTGTATTGAAGTTGAAGGTAAAAATTTCGAACACTTACTCTAATTAATTGAACAGTGAGAGGCAAGGGGACTCACATTAAAAAAGCACCCCGATCTGTGAGAGGCAAGGGGACTCACTCATTAAAAAAACACCCGAAGGGAACATAAAACTACTACGTCCTCGTCGTTGTTCCTGTGTAACGCTAAAAGTAGTTTCTCGGAAAAATTCAACGCTATCTATCACGAATGAAAAAAATTGTTTTAATAAAAATTTCACGTACAATCTAATTCTGCAATGAAAAATGTGAGTCCCCATTTGAGATTTGAACGTTATCACCCACCCTACCCCGAGAGGATGGGGGGGGGGAATAACTTTTATTATGTTCTTTAAAAATATTGAACAGGTATTTTTTATTTCTCATTCCAATGATCATTTCTGGAGAATTGCGGAAAATAATTTTTTGCGATTACAGCGCCATCTATCACGAATCAAAAAAAAAGTTTCGGACAAAATTTACGTATTTTTATGGCGTAGAATCCGTATCTGCAATAAAAAATGGGGGTTTCCATTTAAGATTTCAAAGCTGCTCCCAACCCCCACCCAGGGGGGGGGGAGGTCGAGTTTGGTATCATTGGATGTCCCCCTTCGAGACTAACAACTTTCATTAACCACTTTTTTTTATCCAATGCATAATTCTCGAGATATTTCAATATCTTCAGATAAATCGTGCACCCTGTATATACATATATGTATATATTGCACATACTTGCAATTGTATGTCAGAGATTTTGTTGTTGTTGATCTCATACTCGCGTAATGGCACACGAGCTTGCTTCAAGTAATATATCATCCCTAGCTCCTCCGGTCGTAGAAGTAGCAAGGCGTTACCTTTGTTCCCTGCGCGAGCTGTTCTTCCTACACGATGAATATATTCCTGAAAGTCATAATTCGATGCTGTAAATGTATATTCACTGACAACAAATCCGTGTTGATATTTCGTTTATTCGTCTCTTCTACTGAACGAGACAAACGAACACGACGTAATATCCCTTACTTTGGGATCATCCGGTGGGTCATATTGCACGATCCAATCGACATTAGGTATATCCAAACCTCTAGCGGCCACGTCGGTGCAAAGCAGAATCCCGGAATCTGCTCTGCAGAATTGGTAAAAAGTGTTGGTTCTTTTTATCTGTTTCTGCCTACCCTGTTGACAAGATGCGAGTATTTAATTTTTATCTGAATTTCTAAGAACATTATAACGTGAAGAAAATATAGTGCGAAAAAGAAATGTTCAACGACTTACGTGTATACTCATTACTGGTAAATCGATGTAATTGAGGAGTTCATGATGATATTTCACAGACATGCAGGAACTGAAGAAAACCATAATCTTCTTCTTCTTATTTTTCTTCAGGAATGTGAACAATAGCATGAAACGCTTATCACTCGGACATACCAAGTAACCTTGCTCCAAGTTTTCCACAGTTGCCTTTTCCTTGTCATCATCTACCCCCACATATATGGGTTCCTTCTTGATAGCTAATTTTGTTAGCATGGTGACTTTTTCTGTCTGCGTTGCACTGAAGAGCATAGTCTGCCTGCGTTCTGCATCAACAACAATAGCATGTAGCAACAAAAAATATATATCTACCATAATCTGGTTGTGCATTGCGACAAGCTACTAACTCGGAAGTAAGTTGATAATCTGCTTCATTTCCTCTTCGAAACCAATGTCCAAGATTCGATCAGCTTCATCAATGACTAAACATTGTAAATTCTTATACATAAAATCTGGAGTGTTCTGTAAGTGGTCCAGTAGCCTCCCTGGCGTGGCCACAATAATATTCACCCCCTTCGCGAGCTTCTGCGCTTCAGTCTGCCTATTGGCACCACCCATCAGCAAACCATATGTATGATGGTGATATTTCATAAGTTCTTTTAAAACTCCGAACGTTTGCATAGACAGTTCTCGCGTTGGGGATATGATGATGCATCCAGTACCTGCGAAAATATCCATTCGCTAGATCTTTGTTATGAATAACAAATAGTTCGGAGCGATTTTATTTCGAGAATAGTCCTCAACATTTTAATGTCAGTAACGTCAGCGAGTTCACGTACCGTTGCGTGGCATAAACTTCAATTTGTAGATAAGTTCAACTGCAGGGATTAGGAATGCCAGAGTCTTGCCAGATCCGGTTTTAGCAGAACCTACCAGATCTCTTCCTTCAAGAAGGTGGGGAATGGATTTCGCCTGTATCTCTGTCATATGTGTAAAACCCATGTCATCGATTGCCTTTAATGTATGCTCGCATACTTTTTCTTTCAGCACTGAGAAGTTCTTGTCAAATACTATTTGTAAGCCCAAAGTTGTGCCAGGTGCTAAACAAAAATATATTGTTATTATAAAGAATATTCGAATATTCCTTGACTATTAATTTAGTTATATATCATAAAAGTACATACAATTTTCAGATGTATCATTCTTAGGAGATTTCTCAATTGTCTCTGAATTTTGTTCCTCTTTGGAAACTGATATATTTTCCGTGTCATTGTCATCTGCACTTTTTTCCTTAGATATTTTCGAAATTTTCCTTTTTTCTGATAAAATTGTGCAATGTATTATTATATAAGCACACAATAAAATAAATAATAAAATGATGTCAACACTATATGTTATAAATTATTCCTTGCAAAATAAAATAATTTATATACTATAAAACTTACTTTTTTTAGAGATATCTTCTGTGCATCGTCGCTTCTTACTATTTGTTATTTCTTTTGATACAGTTGCATCTATAATATATGAATATGAATGTTGATGAATTAATGATAAAATATATGTAACAAAAGAAATTAAATAATAATTAAATAATACATACTATTTTCAGATGCATTGCTATTGGAAAGATCCTCAACCATCTCCAACTTCTGTTTTTCCTCAGGAATTGATATCTGTTGCCGTTTCTTGGTTATTTGCAAAATTTTCTTTGTTTCTAAAAATTACATAGACTATTATTAGCAATCATATAATAAAATAGATACAATCATTTATAGATAATATGTCATAAATATTATCCCTATATAGATAATTCATATGATATAAAATATTACTTTTTGCAGGGATGTTTTCTGTGGATTGCAATTTCATTCTGTTTGCATCAATCTTTTCCGATTTAATTGTACCTGTAACAAAAACATTTTAATATTAAAATAAGTAATAATAGAAAGTACCTAATTGTTGTACTTGGATATACTGAAATGCTAAAATATACAAAAAGAAACAATAATATCAGAAAGAAAAAAAATCTACTCAAATAATTTCGAATGTGAAACATATATGTGTACTATGTGTACCATGTTAGGTTGCCATGTAATGGCAAGAGAGCATAATTATATGTAAGTTTTAAATCATAATACACTTATATCCTGTATGTAATTATTCATAGCATATATATTCTTGTTTATCAATATTCTATCCCTCAATTGACACAGGTTTGCAAAAACTGATGTGAAGACAACTCTTGTTACATTTTTGACACAATTTTAATGTACGAAAAATATATGATATAGGTACTCAGATATCACCAGCCAGTGCAAAAATAACAAAAATATTCCAAATATATTGTTAAAAATCAGTAGTATATCTTCGAGATAGAAAACAGCTCTAATAAAATATAACGAAAACAGTAATAAAAATATCTTCGTACAATTTTCAATATCATCCTCCGTAAGCTTCTACTTTGAAAACGCTAACGTTTTTCTTAATTAATTTTTCTTACTTGGTAGAAATACACTACGATGCACGTGTACGATGCACTACGATTTCGAGAAGCTTCCAGTTTAATTCAGTTCGTTATATGGCTCCGGACTGCATACAGCAATGTCCATACGCCACTTCCCAGTAGTATGATGTAAAAAGAAAAACAGGGACAGTGCATACGCACTGCAGGTTCAACCCCAAGATCAAAAAATTATGCGTAGTTACAAGAACCACATCCAACCGCCACGGAGGCGAACAAAAGACTCTTTTGGATTTTTTCGAGAAACTTCCAACGTCATATTCAGCCTACTAAGGACCAGAGCACAGACTTCTGCATAACACATAATGCACACGCATAAGAGAATCAACCAATCAGAGTTCTTCATTTCTATCCTGAGGAGGAAAATGAAGAATTCTGATTGGTTGATTTTCTTATGCGTTGTGTATTATGCGTTATGCAGAAGTCTGTGTTCTGGCCCTAAGTAATAATCACGATGCACGAATAGCTAGATACGCCACGTCCGACTCGAAAATATCCAATATCTCTGAATCTCTGAAAACTGTAGGACTGGCTATTTACTGGGGAATTTTCGAAGGCCCGGGAACTTCCGTTTAAGAAAATTTCCGAGATCATTCTGAAATTCTCTAAACCAACAACCAATCGGCACGTTCGGTCAGATTCGTCGTGCACGACGAATGAAATAGTGCCCGAGGTGAAGTGAAATATCAGTGTACGACGAAATCACATAACCAACCACAGCGATTCTACGAGAATGATAATGTTTATAAATATTCGAATTTGACATATGTTACATGACGAGTGTGGAGTTCATCCAAATTCAACTGTGAGATCTTGTCGCTTGCCGACGTACAATTTTGTAGCTATGCCGTTGGTGTAATTGGTTTTGTCGCCCGTGGTGAGATCTTATACGAACGAGGAACGATGACAACTGGCCAGAGCGGACACGATCATTCTCTCGCTATCAGGCAGGAAATACAACGTTTCGAGAGCGTTCACCCATCGATATACGCTATTTACGACTTGATCGATCTCGTACCTGACGCGCATATTGCCAAGCAAATTCGTGAGCACGTCGTGGCGATTGAAGGTACTTTCTTATTGACTTTATGATATACCCTGGTGGCATATATTTCTTACGCCTGTTACCTGCTCACACAGTGATAAAAATATACAATATGATATATATAACAATGATATATAGAATATTAAGTTGTTAATACATTAAGATTATTACAGGAACCATTGATAAAGTCCAAATATAGTTTGCAAACATATTGATAAGTTGGTATTGCATTATTGCTTGCAACAATATAGACTTGAATTTCTTTAGATTCCTTCGTCAACAGTCATGAGTGGACACTTGCAAGGGATGTTCCAGAATTACATTTGGGAATTATTGGTTCCTCAGACTCTGGCAAATCAGCACTTGTTCATAGGTACCTCACTGGTTCCTTCATGCATGAGGAATCGCCAGAAGGTGGTCGTTTCAAAAAGGAGGTCTTTATCAATGATCAGAGTTATCTTCTTTTAATCAGAGATGAGGGTGGTGTGCCTGAAGCTCAGGTATGCTTGAGTTGATTTTCTTCGTATCATATTATACTAACCAACAGCCAGTCAGATACTATATTAAATATTGTTGAATTGTTTTTAGTTCTCTGCTTGGATAGATGCTCTATTACTTGTATTCAGTTTAGAAAATGAAGAGAGTTTCTCAATAGTTTGTGGTTTTTATAATAGAATGTGTTCTTTTCGAAATATGTCAGAGGTACCAAAAATACTCGTAGGTGTACAAGGTATGTGTTACATGTTTTCTTTTTTCATTTGTCCTACGGATTATTAGCTGTTGTTATATCTCTCAGTTCGCTGAAACTTCTTTATCTTGTAGACTCAATTAATGACAGTAATCCACGTGTCATAAAAGATGTTAAGCCGCGAAAATTGGCTTGTGACTTGAGATGTCCTTATTATGAGACATGCGCCATTTATGGCTTGAATGTTGAAAGAGTGTTTCAAGACGGTAAGAGTGTTCATGTGAGAGTATACACCGCTCGACATTAAAATTTAAAATATCATGCATGTCGTGCCGCTTCGATCGCGATTTACTGCAATGTATTACAGATAATACATTATAATAGCGCAAATAACAAATTCCAGTGTGTCAAAAAATTATACAAAACTCATCCACAAAACATTTCCCCTGCGACGTACCTCAGCACAGTACGGAGAGCGATATTAAATTTCCGGTGCCCGTTATCACTAAAACCGCGCATCTTCACAATAAGGAGATGGAGAGCACGAATTCGTTGAAAGCGAACGTGAGCCCGAGTTTTCTCTTATTACTACTGTGAAGATAATTAAAAATCAAATTAATAAACTTTCACTTTTCGATAGACCTCGGAAAAAGATGAAGACTGTCGATCTATACACAACAGTTCCATGCCGAACGATTCGGGATTGCTGAACGACAATTTCCATAATATGCAGAATCAGCACGGAGAACTGCGAACATCAATTTTGACTCCGACCACCATTCGGTGTGAAACCATTTATTTTCTTTCTATTGCCTCGTTGAATTTTCGCCCTCTCGTGGGCTTCATTGATCTAATCGCCACGATTCTGCTCGCAGGAAATTTCGAAGAAAATCGAATATATTCACACCTTCCAAGAAAGAGAAATATATGGGCGAGATGGGCGTTGGTAGGGAAATACCGGTCAAGCAAGGCTACCTATTTAAACGAAGCAGCAAATCCCTGAAGGAGTGGAAGAAGAAATACGTCACGTTATTAGAAGATGGCCGTTTGACTTATCACTCGAGCTTGCATGTAATTATCCTTTATACTTCATTCACACCACGCGATAGCGCGACAGACTTATGAGAAGAAAATATTTGCAGGATTACATGAACGATGCCAACGGCAAAGAGATTCTCTTGCAATACGTCACAGTGAAGGTACCTGGCAAGACACCGAAAGGCTCTAAGTCATATAGTGCTCAAGGTAATCATCTGTTGTTGATTTTAGTGATTTTCTAAGGTTCGTTATTTTATTTCATTTTTCTAAGATACTATAATCAAATAATATGCACTGCAGTCACATTATATTCAGATAATATGAAAGATAACTGACCCGGATGTCGATATTACCAATTTGACGTTATTATGGAAATTCATTGACGGGCTTGCCAGAGAATTTTCCCTACCACACACACACACAGCCGGCTTGGTCTATCCGTCTGACAGTGTAGCGCGTGGCTCACACGGATAGACCGAGCCGGCTGTGTGGTGGGGGAAATTCTCTGGTAAGGCTCAGTTCCACAACTTGTTTTAAACGGAGTTTAAAGCTAAACCGATGGTTAAAAGCAATATATGCGACTATTGCTTTTAACCATCGGTTTAGCTTTAAACTCCGTTTAAAGCAAGTTGTGGAACTGGGCCTAAGCCCGTCACCGAATTCCCATCACTGTTTGACGTAGCTATCGCGCTGCCATTGGCCGCGTTCAGTAGAACAAAGTAATCAGAGCGCGCTTAGTGATTATATGATAATCTGTGATTAGAGCATTCTTTTAGATTCTTCATAGACCCAGAAGTATTTACCAATCAGGAGCGAGATTCAATGGAAAATCTAGTAATGTTGTCCAACTGTTGAGTCTGCTGAATGCAGCCATTGGGTGCATTCAGTACTACAACTGCTCACTGAGCGCTAAGTGAGCTCTTGCATCTGATTGGTGTATATTTTTAAATCTAAAGGAATATACCAATCAAATGTAAAAGCTCACTGAGCGCTCAGTGAGCTTTTGTAGTACTGAATACACCCAATGGCTGCGTTCAGAAAACACAACGGTTACACAACGGTTAAGTAATTCGTCAACGTTATTGGTCTGAATGTAAGGATCTAACAGTAAGGACCAATAGTTACTAAGCGCTCAGTGAGCGCTTTGTTTTCTGAACGCAACCAATAACTCAGTGCTGCGAGATCGGGAGAATTTTCCAGGTTACAGCGCATGCCTGAAGTGACGTAGAGCAGCTAGATATATATATCAAAATCCACTGACGGTTTAAAGCGCATGATAGAGGTTCCACGGAGGATCCTTTCTATTGTCCCTACAATACCTTCATATTTTCTTTCAGATGAAGGATCTTACGCCCGTATTAGACTATAGATTGAAAATTACAAGTGGACCAACTTAAATAACCAAGATTTAGATTACCTGATTTATCCGATTGTAATTTTCAATCCATAGTATCATCACCATATCGTTAAAATACCTTTAAATTAATACGATACTGAGACTCCCACAGCGTTTGCTCAATGCGCATGCCCGGAAATTCTCCCGGGCTGTGCTCCAAAATTCACTGCCAATACTGAAAATATATAGTTTGTGTCACGCAAATTATAACTTTTCAGCGCTGGCAGTGAATTTTGAAACACGGCCCCGATTTCGCAGCACTGCATTAACTGCGAAACACGTGTTTTCAGAAGACAGTTTCGAGTTCTCTATCATCTCCCTGGAGAATAAAACGTGGCATTTCGAGGCGAATAACGCCGAAGATAGGGACAGCTGGATCAGCGCGATAGAACAACAGATACTGTCGAGTCTGCAAAACAGCGACGGCGACAAGAAAAACGAGACTGACGCCTTCAAGATGCACTGCATAAAAAACAAGGTCTCAGGAAACGATGCGTGCGTCGATTGCGGCACGCCAAGTGAGTAAAATAATTTGTTTTCTCTTTCATTCGTCGGTCGCACGATTCAGTCACACGTGTCCGTTCCCTTCATCTAGATCCTGACTGGGCCAGCCTGAATCTAGGCGTCCTGATGTGCATCGAGTGTTCCGGCATTCACAGGAATTTGGGCTCGCACGTCTCTAAAGTTCGATCCTTGGATCTGGACGACTGGTCGTAAGTATAACGCAAGAAGTTCTGTCGCACTGAGCGTTCATCAACGTTCGTCGACACACGACTCTTCTCAACGATACATCTTCAACGACGGCTTTTAGCGCAGGTCACCTAAGCGTCATGTTGGCTCTCGGCAATAACATAGCCAACAGTGTCTGGGAATATTGCTTGAACGGCAAGCAGAAACCCGTTTCGGACTCGTGCAGGGAGGAGAAAGAACAATGGATTAGATGGAAGTACGAGGACAAGCTCTTCTTACCGCCGATCAACCCGAACGTTCCCCTGGGGAAGTTACTCATTGATTCGGTTTGTCGGTAAGACACCAAGTTTTTCGTAGAAGACTTCATCTTTTGATTGTATCATTATAATGGATACAATTCAAAATATAACTTTAAAAAATTTTTCAAGTTTTAAACAACCTCACAAAAACAGATCTAAGTGTCTGTTCATCGCAGGTCTCATTTGTAACATTTATGCCTAAAGATATAATTTTGCTTCCGAAAATGCCGAAAAGAGAGAAGATAACTTATTTCCCTTCCGTCATAAAATACTTGGTGGTCGAAAGGTCAATTTCGTTCAGCGTTCTTATCCGCCGAAATTCAATTAGATTCTGTGTACACAGGGGAAACATGAGAGTCTTCACGTTCTGCTTGGCTCGATGCACCCATCAAGACATCAATATGCCGGTCAACGAGCCGGAAGACCAGCGAACGCCGTTACACCTGGCTTGCGCGACCGGGAACTTGGCAATGGCGCAACTCTTGATATGGGTGTGTACAGCTCTCGACAAGCGTGTTAAGCTCGTGTCAGACTAATATCCGTATTCATAGTCAGGCCTTATATTTGAGGCCTCCTTATATTCATCTTTAGATGCTGCACGGATTATTTTATTGGCTACAGACCATCTGAAGATAAGCTTAAGGAAGCCTTAAATATAAGGCCTGACTATGAATACGGGTGTAAATATTGGAGGTCGAGAATTACGAATTAAAGAATTGAAGAGTGTAACTTGACCAATTGACAGTCGAGATCAAAATCGGTTAACTCATCGAATTGCAATCTCTAACCCACAATTTTCAATCTCTGATATCTAGTGTAATATGAGCCTCACACGAATGATCTTTCATAATTTGTTCACTGTACGCTATAATGAGTATCATACTCATTGAAAATTTTACAGCATAAAGCGAACCCTCAAAATTTCGATCACGAGGGACGCACGTGCATGTCGTACGTGCGAGCTCTGGAGAAAACTCTCGACAATTCGTCGGACTCGATGGAGATGCAAAAGCTACTCGAGGTATTGGAGCAAGCTAGTATCTCCGGAATGGACGACGCGGACGCATCTTAGTATTAAAGACGACACAGAGGAGAGTAATGCCTTATAAATCAACCCTGCCTGCGTCTTTTCGCTATTGAGAATATCGGTGTACTTACGGTATACATAGAAAGCCATGCTTCGTCTTTTAGTGGCTTATTACGAAGAGGGATGAAGGGGAGGGAATCGCTTTTGAGAGTGACATTCGTTCGAAGGAGAGCAGCCAAAGTACGTTGAGACGAGAGATTGGGGACGCAGTAATGATTTATTCTACGGTAGCGTTAGCTGTATGAAAAGGGAAAAAAATATATATATGTAAATGTAAAAAGTTTATAACGCGCATCGGCGATCGAAATCATTTTAATACGGATCATACGAAATTCACTCTGAATTGGACGAGAATTTTAAATGCGATATTTGAATGTTATAATAAATTTTAAATACGCGACACGTAATTTTGTACATTAAAGATAATTCTTGAAGAGAATGAAAAAAGAAGAAACGGTAAATTTCGCAATAGGATATTTATAATAATAAAAAATTTGTGTCAATCACGGGGAGAATGGACTAATAGCATGATCGAGTGTATAATTGTCAATGACTGAGAGTACAAACACTCATAAATGTAGTTTATATTTATATATATCTAATACATGTAATGTATTTGAAGTATGCTCTTATAATTTTTATTTTATTAATTATCAATTGAACGTTTCATTACCTCGCACTATGTCCCGTTCATTCGTAAAGCACCAAGTTTGATGTTTCGTTTTGTTTCGGCTCTGTGCGCATGATTATGTCACGTGTATCTCACAACTTTTTATATTTCGCCGCGGATGATGTAGCGCTTATACCGTGAACCATCTCCTCCTGTGCATTCTTGTCATCTGCAAGCGAACATATAAATGGAATAAATAAAATAGAGACCAGGTGCTCTATTCTGGATACATATTGAACGCTAAATATATCTTTTTAATTCTTAAACTGAAACAGTTATATGTTTGTATAAAAAAAAAGAAAAAAAGGAACGTGGAATTAAATAGGGATACTAAGTGTTCGCTTTGCGTCTAGAATAGGGCTCCGGGATAGCGATCATGTCATTTCTCTAAACGAGGAAGCATAGAAAGTATAAAGTTTCATGTAAACTCGATGATTCGAGCGAGATTATGTAATATGTTTTCGAACCATGGAAATGTAAAACTTCTCGCATGAAACTTTTAACTTTCCACGTTTTTACCTCTGAAGAAAAGTTACACGATTACCATCTTGATCGCGCGTCTCATACACGAAGCAATCTGTTTTCGATTGACGTTTCTCTATAAACGATTTCTATTATTTACTTTACCTATAGGATAAATGTTCGTTGGAAAAATAGGCATTTTGCTGTAATACGTGGTAGTACTTAGCGTCGATGCGGCGGACTGAGACGAGAGGGTGGCTCTCCACACAGTAGGATTCCTGGACACGAGACATAGATTGCAAAAACACACTCTCTGTATACTCTAACTCTGTTCACTGCAATTTTATAATACTCGTTAGGTTTACGTACGTCTTTAAAATATTTAACTCGTCGGCTATCGCGCCCGAGAGCGGCACCGTCAATGTGTAAACTCTGCCGCAAAGTTCGGCGTGATGCCGTAGCGGGGACGAAAGTTCGGAGAGAAACTCCTTGTACGCGTGAACGAACATGCTCTGCAAACTCTCGACTGAGCACTCCAGATGCGTCTCAATAAGCAGCATGCATTCCAAACTGATGTGAATTTGTGCCAACGTGAGCAACTTCTTTCTGCAATTCGATCAATAAAGTCATTGACTACACGGAGTTTACTGAGAATTCAGTCTATTCAATTCATCGAGTGTATTATTCTTGTGTATAATTCTCTCACCTGTAATTCTCCGTGCTGAAAGTCCCGGACGACACATTGGCCAACTTTTGTCGAACGTCGTACAAATCGACGAGTCGCGCTCCTCTCAGAATGTACAAATAATCTCGGGCAAGCTTCTCAAAGCCCGCGTCCACAACAAGTTCTAATGGTGCGCTGCCTAGCAATAGACGACTAATGAATGACGTTATCTCGTGGCCGCGCATATCAGAGGCAAGTTTGATTATTCTCGTCGAATTTGTATCGTTGGCCTAATAAATATACGGTAACGTTTATATAGCAATCCTCTCTTGGTTCTTAGCCGTTATATCGTCATCGAAACAGATACAAAATTTTCAATGGATTACCTGCGGTATAAATCTGTGCTCAAAAATCTCTCTCAGAATCATTTCGATGTAGCTTATCATCTGCGGATACTCCGAAGTTGCTTTGCATATTAAGAGGGAGATATGTGATTAACCGAAACAAGCAAAACGTATCGTAATTTAAATTGTTTTCACGGAAAATATTTACTCACCTATAAGTATCTCCCATAAGTGATCGGTGAAATCCATGTCGTACCTCGAGGACATGTTTTGTACGCGTTCCGACAGCTTTGCGTCGATTTTAACACTTTGCTTTTTTCTATCGATTTCCTTGATATTGTTGTTATTGGATTTTTGAAAACTGACATCACCATTTAACAAAAAATTCAATTTTTCAACTATGACGTTGTGTTCCTACAATGTCGAAGTATATATATAGTTAAAAAAAGAAAAATATGGAAAATTATTAAATAATTGTATATAAGACATATTTCTAGAAACTATAGAAATGTCCACTTACCTCTAAGTATGGTGTTATAAATTTTATCGAGTTTTGCAGTGCAATGTTCTTCTTATACTCATCTATTATTAATAAATAGTGGGTCAACAAGAGTAATTGAGACCGTTGCTCCTTCAAAGGACTGTCTTTCCAGCCAGCATTCGCTTGAACTATCTGCAAAAAGATTTGTTTGTTAGATAATAACATAAATAATCTGTTAGAGAAATATAAAAATATATAAATACAATGATTGAAATTTGTCACATATATTAAACTATAATAATCTATACATGCGTATTTTTATGTACATACCAGTATATTCTTGGATAATCTTGGATTTAATACCAAGTTATTTGAATGTATTTCAATGCCAATATTTCCTTCAAAATCACTCCTGGCGACTTTATCCCAATCAATCCTTTCTTGTTTAACACCAAATAAGTCAAAGTTATTGAGCATGGACATTTTAATCTAAGAAAATATACTTGATAAAGCTTCTAATATTAAAATAAAGAAACTCAATATTTATATATTACATACATCATGCTCTTGTGCACCTGAACGCTTAAGATGCTCCTGTACAATTTCATGATATTTACTCCTTGCTTGAGGTATTATACCGATAGAGACTGCTCTTAATGTAATAAAACAATTATCACGGATAATGCTGCCAATAAGCCTACTTTGTTTAGAATCTTTTCCATCACAAAGAGCCAACACTGGCAAAGTATTGTCTTCAGAATATTCAAGATATATGTTCAATGCATTGCTGAAAAGATATTTATGTTATTGGATTATAGAATTTAAATCTGAAATACTTTAAGAATCAACATCCTTGTACATACCATGCATCATTTATACTCAATGGCAAGTACGACTCCTCTTCTTTTCGCCAACTGTTTCTCGTGATGATGACTGTGTCGTCGAACTTGCAACTGCCGAATGAATATTCCAAAGGTGAGCCAGAGACATCATGTTCTGAGAGATATTTCAAATATATGTATTTCCGCAAATAAAACTCAATGATTCTTAGATACGTGTGTACTTATTACTTGCAAAGTAATCTTCTTTACTTGCGAAATTCTTCTCTCTATTTTCTTTGTAACCTGCGGATTGTGGTATACCGGGCACCTGAAATCGATGATCATATTAGCATCGATCAAGATCCCGCAGAGAAGAATATTCTTTTGTTCGTTCACATTTTTGTGAAGGACGATATACGGATGATCCTTGAGATCCGGAAACAATTCTTCCACGTACGACAACCTGACTTCGCTGGCTTGAACATGCGGCAAGACCTCGTTCAAACGTTCCATCATGATTTCTCTATAAATCGTAACGTACACAATTTGAAATTGAATGATTTGAACGAAATCAAAGATGGTGGACGTCTGTCGTGATTGTGGGTTGATCATCAATTCAATTTCAACTAACGGCCCAACAGAGTGCGCAATATGAACTCTAGTTGCAGAAATAAACTTGCTATTCCCTTCTCAGTACACTCTTTGAATTGTGCTCCAGTTTTCTTGACACGAAAGAAGTTCCACGCATGCGTTGCATCTTTCAAGTGACGTGGCTCGATGACGGAAGGATCGTTATTTGACTTTCTCCCAGAAATTTGTACATTTTCCCATTAATAATGTTATATGGTAAAATGGGTAGGTGAACATTGGCTGTACCTTTATATACGGTGCACCTAAAACTACTGGTCAACCTAAAGCTTCTTCTATAAGAACAATCGTACGTATACTTTAATTCACAATTAATCTGCTGCAACCCTATTTCTTCATGCTTTTTATAAAAGTTAAGAAACAATGATACAAAAAAAATAATAGATATTCAAAGGCTGACGAGAAGTTGTTTATATTGTGAGATATAAGATATGTGTAATATATAAAATATGTAAAATACATATAAAGGCTGTGTCCCAAAATTCACTGCCAATACTGAAAATACATAATTTGTGTCATGTATATTATAGATTTTTCGTGCTGGCAGTGAATATTGGAACGCAGCCAAAGTATAAAATATATATATATATATATATAGGTTACTTATTTGTCATGTTACAGCACTATGACAACGTATGAAGATTTTATTCAACAGAATGAAGATCGTGACGGTGTGCGTTTTACATGGAACGTATGGCCGTCTTCACGTATTGATGCTACCAGGCTTGTTGTACCACTAGGAACATTGTACCAACCAATTAAAGAACGAGCGGATCTTCCACCTATCCAATATGACCCTGTATTATGTACAAGATCCACCTGCAGGGCTATCTTAAATCCATTGTGCCAAGTGGACTATCGTGCCAAGTTATGGGTCTGCAACCTCTGCTTCCAGAGAAATCCTGTAAGAGAAATTCTATGTTATCGATTGTAAAACTTATGATACTTTCGAATATACATATATATATATATATTGTTAATACAAGCGATACAACTATTTAATATTCATATTTATATATTTCAGTTTCCACCACAGTATGCCGCAATTTCAGAACAGCATCAACCAGCAGAACTTATTCCAATGTTTTCAACAATCGAATATACAATAATGGTAAGTAGGATGAGCTGTAAACACAAAGTAGAGAAAGAAAATGAATGTACAAATATGAAAACTTATTTGTTTTTGTTGGAAACATTCATTTTTTATTAATTATATATATTTCAAGATTTAAATCTCAAGCAATATGTATCTGATATTGTCTAGCGGGCTCAATGTTTACCACCAATATTCTTGCTCGTCGTGGATACATGTATGGATGATGAAGAATTAGGAGCGCTTAAGGATTCACTACAGATGTCCTTATCTTTGCTTCCTCCCAACACTCTGATCGGTCTTATTACGTTCGGCAGAATGGTTCAAGTTCATGAGTTAGGATGCGATGGTTGCAGCAAGAGTTATGTATTCCGCGGCACGAAGGATCTGCAGCCGAAACAGGTCCAGGATATGTTAGGTAAAAGTTAAGTTTTAATTTACTCACGCTCGGTGTACTTAATGCGCGATTCGCGTTTGTTTAATCGCGCCTCGCTCGCACTTCGCAGGTATAGGTAGACCGTTTCCCGGACAGAACCCAAGCCAACCGAGAGGACCCGGCACGCAACCATTGCCGCCGGCCAATCGTTTTTTACAGCCGGTCCATAAGTGTGACATGAATCTAACGGACCTTCTAGGAGAGCTACAGCGCGACCCGTGGCCCGTTGGGCCAGGAAAACGTCCATTGAGATCTACTGGTGTGGCATTAGCCGTTGCTACTGGTCTCCTAGAAGCTAGTTACGCTAACACTGGTGCTAGGTATTTATATATTACATATTTATATATTACGTAATATTGGTACTAAAAACTACTCAATACTATGTATGGATACTCAAGTGTTATACATAGTACTATTATATATTATACATTAATATTATAGTCATGTCTTACTGTCTGTGTTTAAGAATTATGCTGTTCCTCGGTGGGCCGTGTTCCCAAGGACCCGGTCAAGTAGTAACCGACGATCTACGACAGCCGATCAGATCACATCATGATATCCAGAAGGATAACGCCAAGCATATGAAGAAGGCGACCAAGCATTATGACGCGTTGGCGTCGCGTGCCGCTGCCAATGGCCACATTATAGACATATATTCCTGCGCTCTCGATCAAACCGGTTTGCTGGAGATGCGACAGTGCTGCAACTCCACCGGCGGCCACATGGTGATGGGAGATTCGTTCAACTCATCTTTGTTCAAGCAGACCTTCCAACGTGTATTCGCCAAGGACTCCAAAGGCGACCTAAAGATGGCATTCAACGCTACTTTAGAGGTGAAAACGTCACGGGAGATCAAGGTTTCCGGAGCGATCGGGCCCTGCGTGTCGTTAGGAGTGAAAGGAGCTAGCGTAGGAGAACAGGAAGTAGGATTGGGCGGTACTTGTCAATGGAAGTTCTGCTCACTGACGCCGTCCACGACCACGGCTCTCTTCTTCGAAGTTGTAAACCAGCACACCGCACCGATCCCACAGGGTGGAAGAGGCTGCATCCAATTCATCACTCAGTATCAACATAGCAGCGGTCAGAGAAGAATCCGAGTCACTACTATCGCGAGAAAGTAAGCATTTTCCGATATCACGTTATACATAACCTTCTTTGTGTTACAATATATTATATTAATTATTATTAATATTTTTCGCTACAGTTGGGCAGACGCGTCGTCGTCCTTGCATCATGTGAGCGCGGGATTCGACCAGGAGGCAGCGGCCGTTCTCATGTCGCGTTTAGCTGTGTTTAGAGCGGAAAGCGACGACGGACCAGATGTATTAAGATGGGTCGATCGTATGCTGATCAGACTTGTTAGTATATTTCCCAAAGTCGGAATTATGCAAGAAAGTTGTATGCTTTCTACATTTTGAGACGTATATTTTTATCTTTGCAGTGCCAAAAGTTCGGAGAGTATGCCAAGGACGATCCAAATAGCTTCAGATTGGCGGAAAACTTTTCCTTGTACCCGCAATTCATGTATCACTTGCGTAGATCGCAATTTTTACAAGTATTCAATAATTCGCCCGATGAGACCAGTTTCTACAGGTGAATCTTTTCGTTTCTCTTCGTGATTGTTTCCTGGCAGACCGTCCGTAGTATCCGGGGTCATCATATTTCTCATCATACTCTATATCGTCATGTCTCTTCTTTACCTTTCAGACATATGCTTATGCGTGAAGATTTAACAAATTCTTTGATCATGGTTCAACCTATCTTATACAGTTATGGATTCAATGGGCCCCCGGAGCCTGTATTATTAGATACTTCGTCCATTCAACCCGAGAGAATTCTGTTAATGGACACATTCTTCCAGATACTCATTTTCCACGGAGAGGTAAGTGACCGCGAGCTTCCAGTTGAATTGAACTACCTGGTGAGCGAATATAACCTGTGTGTATATGAACACATGTTTAACTTATCGCTAATTTATTGCAGACCATCGCGCAATGGCGACAGTCAAAGTATCAAGATCTGCCGGAATACGAAAACTTCAGGCAGTTATTGGCAGCGCCTGTTGACGACGCGGCGGAGATATTAGGCGGCAGATTTCCCGCGCCACGATATATCGATACGGAACAAGGCGGATCTCAAGCTAGATTCCTACTGAGTAAAGTTAATCCGAGCCAGACTCACAATAATATGTATGCTTATGGCGCGGTAAGTAAAATTTTATACATTTTTTAAACATTACAGATGATACTCCAGAATACGTATTTCGAGTTTAGATTCTTTAATTAATTTCATGTTAAATTTTCCTTGATGTATTTCACCAAATTTATCTCATGAAAAACTTTGTTCTCTATCTCTTTCTCCAAATTAATAAATAAATCTGTAACTAAAAAATATAATATGATAATTCAAGGGAATCTGTACAAGTACTCATAAGAGTTTCATACCATCTGTAACTAATATTTTTTTTTATGTCACCATGATCCTGTGAACTAGGGGATGCCGATGCCCAACGGGGTGTGTTATTTTATTTATTTATTTATCTATCTGTTCTATTTCTCTCTTTGTACTTAGCTTTTCTGGTGGACGGATCACACTCAGGGGTAACAGCATCGATATTAATGAAAACACAACTCTTTCATTTTTAAATCTGTCACATTATTTTTATCTAGATTTTAGATTACTGAATTATTTGGGTTTTGTAAGACCACTGTAAAAAATACTCGAGTGTCATCATGCGTTGCATCTAATTATAAATATACAACTAATAGTTCCTAAAACACTGATTTATCGCGCCCAAATTTTGGCGTTACCAACAATTAAATATTTTTACTGATTATTTTATTATCTTATTGATTTTTTACATTGAATTAAGATTACTTATTTGATTACACGAAAAAGCAAACTGAACTTTTTTTTTATATCGTGTAACTATATGCTAATTTTTTAACGATGCTAAAGTTTGGGTCGTGTTAATTTTTACAGGTACTTATCACACAAGATGACAATATTTAATAATTCTGCACGGTTTATAGCAATGTTCACATCTTTGAGCTTAAATCTGGTGGTGGTTAATATCAGAAATTGATCTTTGCAAAGTTTCTTCTTAATCTTAATTAAAATATGTAACGCCCAATATTTACTCTAAAATATGTTACAAGTAGATTTTTCGATACGTTTGTAATTAATCTTTGGATCAAATTATCTTGAAATTAAAATTGCACGAGAAATCTGTTTATGCTTGATGCAAGAGATCTTCATTCTACGAAAGATGTTTCTAAGAAATTAATGTCATATATATTGCTGTTTTTTCTGCAGAAATCAAATATATTGAAAATTATAATCATCATACTTTTTTATATGTTCTATTTTTATAATTATTATATTATTCTTTTCTTTTTATTTAGGAAAGCGGTGCACCTGTGTTGACCGACGATGTCAGTTTGCAAATATTCATGGAGCATCTGAAGAAATTAGCTGTATCATCTACAGCATAAATCAATGAATATGTTATTTATACTTGCAGTATGTGTTATGATAAACGTTCATTTATCATATAATATTTTATAATATAATAAAAATCTATCTGGAAAATGCAGAATAGGCGAGCGAAGAAAGTCGAATTTGTAAATATAAAGCTTTTCAAGGAAAAATCACAATAAATTTGAAAATCAGATGATTATGAAACAAGTAGCAGTGTAAATTAATTCAATGTTAAAAAGACGTTGCAATCATAAAATATAGATTGTGAATTATTTAGAACGTAGATTTTTACGTAGACAATAAAGCAGAACGTTTCTTGTGTGATTTCACACATTTGTAAGCTCATTCCAGATCTATATTTGTGTTTGATATTAATTGATGATTGAGGTAAGAGATAATGCAACGCATGTAAACAAATATTAGTAAATAATTTTAAAGTTTCTCCAGTAATATTACTGTTTTTTTCTGTATTTTTCCTTAACATTCTGTATGTTGTAAGCAATAAATGAATTTGTGAAATTACAAGTCTATCAACTTACTTTTCTCAAAACTAAAAATTATTCGAAATAATAATCTAAATTTTGTTAAACACAATCATACTATGTTCCATAATCTTTGATATTGTAACAACTATTATCTCATTATTTGATCACTTAATCATTGTTTAAAATAATTGGAAGAGGCAAATAGCTTTACCAATAATTTCCCATGGCATACAAGAGGTATATTATAAACAACAAGGATTTTGTGAAATAATTATATATTTAATTAGAAATATTACTTTTCAGCTTGTTTTTTGCCTTTTTTTGCATCGCTGGTTTTGGCTTTCTTAGCCTTCTTTAACTTATAGAATGCCTCTGTTCGCATTCTATTTCTTATCTGCCTGGCTTTCCTTAACTTGAAACGATCAAAATCACTAAGTTCCGCACGCTAAAACAGAAAAAGAAACACGCTTATTATCTAAGACAAGATACTGAAATATTTTAGTTATTGAATATATAATCCATCCTAATATATAAGATTATTTAGAATATTTATGACAGCATAATTTATGGCCTTGGTAAACAGCTAAAACTCTAATACAATTAATGAGCTGCTGAATACATTTACCTTTTTCTTTGCTTCAACTTTTCTAGCCCACATTGTTTGCTTCCATAGTTCGTCGATGTTACCCGCCTGCCACGCCTTACGTACAACACGAGTAGATCCAGTAAATGGGAAACGCAAACGGAATTTAGTTAGATGTAGCTCATTGAGCCTCATCTCGCAGCGAGGTACATTTGATGATGGGCCATCCACCAGAACCTGAGAAAGAGTATAATTTAGTGTAACAATCGTAAATACAGTAACTTATTGAGAACAAGTTATAATTGTTTTCAGAAAGGCAATAAGCATCAGTAGATTCAGCCGGCAATTCCTATCACAAAATTGTATCATCATTCAGATTATATATAATAAAAAGTAATATGTATAATAATCAAGACCATAGTAAAGTGTAATTATATAAGAAATCAAAATATATTTATGTTCCAAATAAGCTCATATATATTCAAATAAAAATATTTTAATGAGTAACGGTATATTATTGTACCTATATCATAGCTATATATTTATATATATATAAAGATATATTAATATCTATGTATCACAGTAACATATTATTCTTACTCGATTCTGGTCAATGATATCAACAATAGCCACGAGTTTGCCCTGATGAATGCCATCGCTCACATAGGCCACACGGCCCGACTGCACAAACCTTTGGAATGGCTGAAAATAAAAATAATATTTGTTGTTATTCAGTTACATACTGATTCTTTCTTTACAAATAATGAATTTTAAGATATATTCTGAGTCTGCATAAAACTATACTTTTTATTTAGAGTTCCCTAAGAGTTATAATAGAACTTTTGCATTATAAAGATAATAAGTTTGACGAATTTGAAGTGGATTTTCTTCTGTACAAAATTCTAAAAATTCGCTTGATGAATTTAACTGAAAAATCCGAGAAAGTTAAAATTCATATCAAGTTAATACAGAATTAGATACTATTAGAACATAAATCAGATTTAACGCCTATTTTTTGAATTTTTTCACGCGGGTAGTTAAAAAATGCAATTTATAGTGGATAGAAAAATAATAATGCGCGAGACAGCGCTCTTCGTAGCAACAAAGAGATCAAGAAATTTACAACATACACCATGTGGCTGAAAAACGCTCACGCGACGTGGTAATGGTGGTTAAGTTACGTCAAAATTCATAACGTGAAATCGCCCGCTCGGAAACGGTGAATATAATTACGAAGACGGATAAAATTCACAATGAAAAGACATATTTGATAACTTGCATCAGGATTTTAATAATTCGCGAGGCCAAAACGAACGTGATTCACTTACCATGATCCACAGGAAATGAAAGATCCACAGAATGGAAGATCCGTTGCATAGTGGCCAACTATCGCACCAAATGATCAATTATTCCTAGCTCATGGTTTTTGGACCAATCTAGCGTTCGCAGTGTTCTGCAACTCATCGAAAAGAGTCGTCGTTTTTCTTCGGGTCAGAGCACAGACTTCTACATAACGCATAATACACAACGCATAAGAGAATCAACCAATCAGAGTTCTTCATTTCTATCCTGAGGAGGGAAATGAAGAACTCTGATTGGTTGATTCTCTTATGCATTGTGTATTATGCGTTATGCAGAAGCTGTGCTCTGGCCCTTCCTCTGCGACACGTTGACAAAATTTTGCTTGAACTACGATCGAGGACGCGGTAATCGGTGTGCTGATAAGTAAAATATGACATCGCATCTTTTAAAGCACATATATTCTACGGACAGTTTAAATGTATTTCCAGGTCCGATTCCAGTCAAAAGAGCACGAAGAACATCGAAATTCCGGTTACGCAACTAGTCTTGTCGATCAATCGTAAATTTCAAATAGATATTGGAAAAATTTTTCGTGTTGTTCTGTGATATTAAATACATTGCAAGAAAAATGGTGAGTTTTTGCAATAATGTATAATTTAAGTTGATTTATAGATAATTCTGGTTATTATCATTATCTCAATGGAATTTATTTCTCGTTTAACCTTTATCCGACCTTCATAAATAGAATTCTATTTCAAATTGATCTAATTGTCTAAAATTTGCGCGTATGTTTCGAATATTCTTACACAGCTTAAGTTCGACTATTTGTTTATGGAAAATATATTATTTTTTGGGGTTTTATTAAAGCTAATTAAATTGTAAATAATATCAGAGCTAATTAGTATTTTTTAACTAATAAATAATAAAATTCGATAGAGCATGTAGATATACTTACATATAAATATTTTCGTTTAAATAATGACACAAAATATCAATTATCATACAAAATATCTGTACTTTGTCATGCAATATGATATATTTAAAAGATAACTTTTTATAGAAAATAAATGTTATGATATTTTATTAGGCTGAGCCTATAAATGTCGTGGTTACTGGTGCTGCCGGGCAAATTGCCTATTCCCTACTGTACCAGATTGCGGCTGGTACAGTTTTTGGTCCTGAACAACCTGTCAATCTTCGATTATTGGATATTCCAATTATGATGAAAGTGTTGGATGGTGTAGTTATGGAACTGGAGGACTTAGCACTTCCTCTATTACGTGGTAGGTAATAAGAGGTATATATATGTGTGTGTGTGTGTGTGTGTGTGTGTGTGTGTGTGTGTGTGTGTGTGTGTGTGTGTGTATGTATGAGCGTGTGTACATATATAATTTTTATATTTGGAAATTAAATTAGAAACATGCAAATGTATGTGCATGAAAATATTGCATATTAATTTTTACTTGGATAATTCTTACATACTTTTGTGTAAATAAATAATGGTAAAGAGAAAAATAGCACAAACTTTAAAGTTTGAAGATTCATTTTCTGAAATAAAGACGCTAAAATCAAATTGGAATAAAATAGAAATATTTCTTTCAATGATTTTCCCTTTTTTCTGGTAGAAGCAATAAAGAGTTATTCTACATTATAAAACTAAAGAACCGAATTAAAGAACAAGCAGCAATTTGAGTTAACATTGTAAATCTTACTTTTGAGTTGGCTCTAACGTAAAATTAATTTAAGTCTTGATTGTCGGTTGTATTTAAAGATCGCTAATATTATCTACCTGCGTCATTCGTGTTTACAATGGCGACAAACGGGAGAATCACGCGGTTGATTTTCTCAATTTACTGCTAGCGCGTATGATGAATGACTTTTCATTTGATGAAACTGTCTTAATTTGATAAAGCAGGTCAATGAATTAAAAGCGATCGTCATCCTCAGTCTGACGTTAGAAACACAGAGGTAATAGTCCAGGTTTTTCTAAATGTTTCCAAGCATGTTCGATAATATACATTTATCTAATCTATGTGTGTGTGCGTGTGTGTGACTGAAGGTCCAACTTTAGAATATGTTGTGTAATTATTATGTGATAGCGAATTGCGTTTCGGTGATAGTACATGACTCGTTTTAAATTTCTAGATATTTTGCCAACGGCCGAACCAGCCAAGGCCTTTGATAATGTGGCCGCTGCTTTTTTGGTTGGCGCGATGCCGCGGAAAGAAGGAATGGAGCGTAAAGATCTTTTGGCTGCAAATGTAGAAATTTTCAAAGTGCAAGGGGAGGCGTTAGACAAGTACGCGCGTAAGGATGTCAAGGTGCTTGTCGTGGGTAATCCTGCTAACACCAATGCGCTTATCTGTTCGCATTATGCACCATCGATCCCGAAGGAGAATTTCACCGCGATGACCAGATTGGATCAGAACAGAGCGCAGGCAACATTAGCCGCGCGATTAAACGTACAGGTAACATATATATGTAGTCAGTGTGATACTGATTTGTCTTCAGATATGTCTGACTGCAAGTCTATTCTGCTCTATATTTAGTTTACCTATAAATTATTGCTATAAAAAGTATACATAAAACTATTATAACAGCTATAAAAATAGATATTCCAACAAATATGATATATGTAAGAGAAAAATACGAATATTGAGATAAAACAATAAGTATACAAATATATCATATTTTTATTATTTTATCAATTCATATTTCTCTTATATTTATCTGTTTATGTATTGAATCAGAAATAAAATTTTATTACACTAGCATCACGCGTGATATCGTGTGTATTTGTAAGTATTAAGTAATCTTGTTGCGACAGGTCGATAATGTGAAAAATGTGATCATCTGGGGTAATCACAGTTCCACGCAATATCCTGATGTAGCGCACGCGACCGTAACACGATCATCCGGCGCGAAATCCATACCGTCCGAGATCAACGATGACGAATGGCTAAACAAGACTTTCGTAGAGACAATCCAGAAACGCGGTGCTGCTGTGATAGCCGCTAGAAAAATGTCTTCCGCTATGTCCGCCGCGAAAGCTGCGGGGGATCATATGAGAGACTGGTGGTTCGGCACTAAACCTGGAGAGTGGGTGAGCATGGGCGTCGTATCCGATGGAAGTTACGGGATTCCAAAAGACGTCGTCTTCTCCTTCCCTGTTACTATTAAAGATAAGCGTTACGAAATCGTACAGGTAAGCGCTATCACGGTGGAGTATTTAAACTTGAACGCATGAATATCTCAGATTGCCGATATTTTTTCTCGTTTCTCTATGATTTTCATGCAATTTCATACTAAAATAACTCAAAACATATTAATTATATAGTTAAAAAAGATACGATGTATAAGAATAATACAGAAGTACTAAATATTCTACAATCAATTTTCAGAATCTTCCAATTAGTAGCTTTGCAAAATCAAAGTTGGATATCACGTCTAAAGAACTAGAGGAGGAACGCGCTGAGGCGAACAATGTACTGAAAAAGTGACTAGTAGTGGTGCAGAACGATGAAACACAGACCGAATTTATGCCGGCGAAACTATAGAATATCATCTTTACAATGCTACGCAAGATATATGTACATATATACGCATATATACTTCAATATAAATACCATGTAAACAATTATTTTTCCATCGATATAATTAGGAAGGATTGTGATTCGGTGCGTTGAATACACAGATGAATCAGTGGTGCAATATAAATGGTAATAATATACGTTATCTGCCTAGAATGCGAATTATCATGATATATGATACGTATGATTTATATAGACTTTATATAAAAACAAAGTAACTTTTGTGTAACGAGGTGCATATTGGAAAACATATACTTATACTTTATAACACTTTGTTTGCTTTTATTCATCTCCCCTAGGAGCAATAATTTATATTACAGTAATGGTAATTTTTTTTCCTTTTAATATCAATATCGTTATTCAATCTTTTCTCATATTTATATTATCTTTATATTCTCTCTAAAAACTATCGTTACAACTATATCAAGTTTTGTTTGTAGTTTATAATTATCGCGTGAGCATTAAGTAGCGTATTGTACAAAGATGCAGAGTGTCAAACGATATTTAGCTTTTATCCACGACTCTCTGGTAACCGTACCCGTTCACGATGGAGCACCGCGAATTCATTTTTTTTCTTTCCGTTTTGTTTAGAGATAGAGAGGTTTAGAGATAATACACAAATATTCGGTTATGGGACAGATATTTTGTTTAGAAGCTGCGTGGACACTTGATCTAATAGATCTACGAAACATGATTATTTCTCGACGTTATTAACGGAAAATTAACATCACGCGAATATGTACACACATATATATATGTATATATATATATATATAAACTAGACTATATATGTATATATTAGAATAATATATAGCATAGTATGTATGTATATATTATGTGTGTGTATACACACATACATATATATATGTGTGTGTGTGTGTGTGTGTGTGTGTGTGTGTCAATTTTGATTCACATCACTCTCATTGCATAAACATTCGTAACACGATACTGGATTTTTATACGCGCACATGTGTATATGTCGAGTGTGTATAGTAAATATTTTTATTTAATATAAAGAAAATATAGAAATTTTCTCTCATTAAACTTGCCTTTTATGCAGACTAGATATCCGAAGTACGATATTTTTGAAGAGGAAAAAAAGCAAATACACAATATATTGATTCAACAGTGTGAGGAACTCTTGACTTTCCGTTCCATGAGGCTAGCGATTATACCCGAGGAAAACCCTAGGTAAAAGAAAGTTCAGTGAAAAAAGATGATCTCTGAATGGACCAATTTTACAGCGGAATATCGGATACCTGGAACGGATCACTTACAAACGTTTGTCCAGTTGTAAACGTATACGTGTATATATATATATATATATAAACGTATGTATGTATATGTGTATATATATATATATATATACATACATACACACACATGTATGTGTATATATGTATATCTTTTCGAACAATTTCTGCCTTATAATTCTTAGTACACAAAAAAGAAAAGATATTTGTCAAATAATAGTTAATGTAATACGTGTCAATAACCAATGTGGTGTGCAAAAATATTATTCAAACTGTAACCTGCAAATCGTGAGTCTCAAACAACAAATGATAATAGAAAAATAAAACAAGAGGATATTGACTAATTCACAGCAGGTAATTACATTAGATATAAATATGTATATCGTATTATCTTGTCCTACCTATTTTAATATATATGTATATATAAAATATTACAAAGATCATAATATATACAAGAAATCAACGTGATTTTGAAGAGAGCTCGAAGTAACATTCGATTGTGTGTATCGCGATTATAATTTATGGAAATTTACTGAAGCATCGCGACGACATTCTGCCTATTAGTATCTTTGAAACGGAGACAATTTAGGAACGCTTGTGATTTATCTTGCGTCACGAATTCGTGAAAAACCGAAACGACAATAAGAGATAGAACAATTAGTACGTTCAACGCCATGTGGACACATATCTGTTTTTCTGCAGAAACAAAGCTCTTTCCGTCCCAGGTTACTAAGTTGCCGTTTTTTTTTTTTAATACACTACGTTATATATATTTATATTATGTGTACCTCTTATACCAGGGAAAACAAAAATAAAATTATATCAAATTACGATAAAGGCCGCGTACTCGTCTTCCTACATATATAACATGTAATATCGTTCTGTTAAGTATAATAATTTTCTTCCGCGTATAATTCGCATCCCTTCTTTCTCCTCTCGGGCGAGCGAAATAAAATTTCTTTAATTCAAGTGAAATCCTCGTTCCCGAGTAGCAGCCAAGAGTCTCTCCTTCAGTATTTCCTCGGTAGGATATTCTGGTAATTTTAAGTAATGAACACAGGTGTTAACTGAAGGATAACCACCGGAGCCGGCGTCCACTTTGCGCACGACGGTCAATCTGGGATGTAAATTGCATAGACCACCCGGAGGTAGGGCCGAGCAGCCGGTGGCAAATTGCAAGAACGCTTTTCTCTCAGAACCCGTCAGCGACAACAACACATTAACGAATCTTTGGAAGCCAGGGCTGAAAGGAAAGTATATATGTCATATATAAGAAGAAAAATGAATGAAGAAAAAGAAAAAAATGTATGTGCGATCATTCTGTGTATGTCTCTTTGTTACGTAAAGATCTATTAGGATGGTGCAAAAAATTTGTCATTTCTCCATCAAGTTTAATCTTATAAGAAACCAGCAATTTAGATATTAAGCATATAACATAAAACATCACGTTAAATGTCTGAAAGAAATGTCGAGTCGACGTTCTTGAAATAAAAAAAAAATGTATACGAACATGAAGCAATTCTTTTTGTAACAGGATCCACCTGATCTCAGACAGAAATACAACTTATCGGGATGCAGCCTCACCTTTCCTTCGTGTATCCTAATTTTGGCTCGGTGTAATTGAGCAGATCCTCCCTCGTCCACTGCGGATGCTGTTCGCCGCAAAGCATCGCTCTCATTTCCTCTGGGCTGAAAGCGTGCAGTTTCTCCATGGGGAAGACTTTGGAGAAGCCCGACTTGAACGCCTCGAGTTGCCTACATATCCCTTGGTTAAGGCAGTAGTTGATGGTGAGATTGGTGTATTCCCTCGCGTTCTCTATCGTCACCGTAACGTCTGCGCCGTTTTCCACTAACTCCACTTGATCGTGTTGAAACACTTTCGAACTTGGTGAATACGTCATGGTTAATGCTAAATCTTCGATGGCCACTGAAATACCGGACTGATGACAAATGTACAATAACGACGTCTCTTCGTCGACGGCGCTCGGGCCGTCGGAGAAGGTCCGATCGCGCTTGGTGATTGCGTTCTGTATTTCCTTGAGGAACTCCCCCCGCACGGGATCCACCTCGGCGAGATCCTCGATGTCCAGTAATCCGGCGTACCATGGGCAAGGCTCCAACGTGGAATACGCGGCGTCGGTCTCACCCTCTTCCGAGATAAAGCTGCTCGACATGCTGGATGACATACTCTCTTGCGTGACGCCGGTGAGACCGATTTTCTCATTGACATTGTTCGAGATATCACCACGGCACATTAATTTTAAGAATGGACGGGACAACGGTAGATCTACTAATCTATTATCCTGTAGAACCTTCGCCAAGAAGACTCCTAGGAACCAGAAATATCGAACAGCGCGGTCGCACGCTGCCGAGTCTTGCGGCAGCGGAGCTGGGAACAAGCCACTGGCGCGTGTCACATAATAACCCGCGGGCCGGATCTTCTCCTCGGTGGTGACACACTGCTCCTCGCTCAAGATCCGCACACCGTTCTCGTCGTCGCCTTCCGCATCGTTAGCATCATCGCACAACCAGAGACCTAGATCTCTGCGCTGCAGTTCCGCCGCGACTAATGCGAAGAATTCTAAAGTAGGCCCCAGGCCGGTACCCTCCTCTCCTACGAACGCGACCTCGAGTATGCTCTTCCGACTTGCGTGCACCTGAGTGATGAAGAAGGACAATGAAGGACGCGCGGAGATATAAAAAAGCATCTAGGTATCAAGAAAATTTCACTCGCTGTTCGTTCAATGACGCAAGAGTCGACACAAGTTAAAATTTACCGAAAATATATTTTTTAATACAAAATTAAATATTTTACCTTCAGCACTTGTTCCGCCCAGTCTAACAGCTTATCTCCCCTGGGCACGCTGACCCTCTCGTGCTTAAGCCTGCCGACACGGAACTCGTGGCTGTCATCACGTCGTGGGCTCAAACCCGGTGCACGTTGCCGCTCGAGAATCGCGTCGCGTTGCGTTTGTAACCACACGATCGATCGTGAGGCACCGAAAGCGGTGCAACTGAAGTAAAGTCGCCTAGTCTCGAAGGGCAACAAGAACGGACAACTTCGTGCGAGTTCCTCGCACCAATTTGGCAGCGCGCCAGCGGCTAATGCCAGCGGGTCTTGAATCTGCTGCACAATCTTATTCGTGATCTTCTTGGACGTGAAGTCGTCCGGATGAATCCAGCAGGCGGTGTCGTCCGATTCCTCTTGCTCCAACGCGGCCGGTCTTCCATCATCTCGCACTGTGCTCAAGACGAATACGTGTCTCAGCAGCTGCAGAACGTCCTCCACAGTGCATGCGTTTGCATTCTGCGTGGCGTTACGAGAATACAGTGTCACAATCGGTGTTGCTCTGCCGGATGACTCTTCGTCTCTGGCTTCTTTGTATATTATACTGCACGGAAAAAAAAAAACAAAAGACAAAGCAAGATCAGTGCGATTTGATTAGTTAGTTTTTTTCCTTCTTTAAAATGTTGGAATAAAGAATGAAATTAATTATTGAAGAAACAAAGTTAATAAGGAAAAAAGTCAGAATCATTACGTGTAGGTCGGCTCCCATATCCTTCTCAGTTTCTCCTGGCGACTGCCCAATTCGGTCAGTTGCATTAATTCCTGAACCGCTTGGAAGATACTGGCGTGGGGATCTGAGAGGGGTATCTCGACATCCGCTACACCAGGGAATCCTGGCCCCTTCAACGACAAAGACAGTCTAGGCATAGGCAACGATCCAACGCGGCTATTGATTTGCGTCTCGCTGCCGGGCGGGGGAACTTCCAAATCCGTTGTCTATCGCGAGAATATTCCAAGATGAAGAATGATAAGAAGAGTTGTCACCTACATTTCACTTATTGCATGAAACACGTTACTCACCTGATTGATATTCGTTCGTCCAGGACGCGGGTCAAAGGCGGGAATAAGAGCGGAAAACTGACGTTTCAACACAAACTCGTCATCCCACGCGCGTCTCTTACTGCTCTGCGGGGTCTCGTCTTCCATGAATGCTGCCAAGAGATTACGACTCACCATCACCTCCTCGTACTCACCCTCGCAACCGTCGCCTTCTTCTTCGTTCTCTTCGTCTTCCTCCTGAAACGATGTTTGTTTAATAACAGGCTAAGAAATTGATTAATAATCAATTGAATCCGCGTTTTAGCGGTGCGAAAATACCGTACAGGAATATACGTACACTCACCTCTTGATCGTTCTCCTCGTTGTCCTCTTCCTCTTCCAGAACACCGTCTTCGTCATCTTCCAATTCGGCCAGGAGCGTAGGTGCACCGGTGGTTCGACCTCCACCAACGCTGGAGGTTGCCACGCCTCCGCAAGATTCCAAAAAGTCTTCAAGACTGACCTGGAATTGAGGATGAGAAACGAGCAGTGCTCGCCAAACGCATTTCCATCACGCATCACCATTCGAGAAGATTGCAGTTTTACCTGCTCACTATCACTGCTTGTACTAGTCAGAGACATGGTAAGCGCTTGCCCTAAGCCTGGTCCAGTCGTCGTAGTGACGCCACTACCGGCCACCTGTCCGCTACTTGTCAAGCTCGGGTAACTTTGCGCCGTACTAAGTAATCCACCGGGAAAATTAGGACTGAGCGCCAGTCGCACGAGGCTAGACACGGAATTTGGCCCTCGTGAATTAGAGCTCGTATTAGAATTCGAAGCGAGATGCTGCCCACCCGTAGGTCCTGCAAAGATGCGTTATTGTGGAAACGACAATCACTGGACTTTGTCATTGGAGACAAGATGCATCATTGACGCATTGTGCCACACAAACGGAAAAGTTTGCGTACGATATCTCGTTGAGGTAGCGAGTATACACGTGATCGTTACGAATACCAGCTAACATCGAGTAATTTTCACATTGATATGTAATTATACTTGGTTGAAGACTAACCTAACGTTCGTCTTCGCGCCATCGCAGCAAAAGTTTCCAATAAACCAGTAGCAGCTGTTGGTTCCAAGGTATTGTTAGCATCGGAACAAGCGAGATTAGGCACAGATACCGACATGGGATTGGTAACCACAACAGGACAACCACCCGTTGTATTTTGCGTAGACGAGCTAGCCTCTTTCTCTCGAGTACAGTCTTTAGCAACTAATTCGAAGGAAACGTACTAAATTTTTACATACACTATATATATCAGCACGAGAGGATGAATGAAGTTCATCAATTCGGTCAGAGAGAGAGAGAGAGAGAGAGAGAGAGATCGGTAGCGGTAGTTGTGTGACAGCTGCCGTCACACCGAGCATTAGAGATTGAAAAGATGTAACAGTTAACAAGATATCAGTATATAGCGTGCGTTCGTGTCTGTATGTGTGTGTGTGTGTGTGGTATGTCTGTGTGTGTGGTTTTTCTTTCTGTTCTTTCGATCGAAATTCCAACGTCACAATGCTGAAATGAGTGTCATGGTGATTGGAAAAAAGGGTTCACTATATATCAATGTAATACACATACCATCCGTGATCCCCGTAGGATGATGCCTTGACACAGACTTAATTCTCAGCGAGTTCTCATCGGACTCGCCAGACACACTGATTCTAACGGGAACCAAGCCGAGTAGTTCACCACTTAGAAAACTATTAGTATTATTCCGTAATCTATCAGCACCCTCTCTCATACGATCCAGAACCTCGGCAGCCTCTAAACTCAATAAACCGCCGCTGGCCTGCATGGTACAATTCCACACATATATATTTATATATATATATATATATATCTTGCGAGATCGTACACAATGGTAGAACCGCGGAAAGCTTCAGAAGAACAAGCATCGATACAACTCACCTTGTTACCTCTTAGAGTAGCGAAAAGTGGTTTGGAGCTGGATGCACGATTGCTAGTACTATTGGCTGGACAATCCGTATTAAGGGCGAGGCTTTCAACAATAGTGGCTAAATCGCTAGTAACGGTTGTGTCAGGTCTAGGATGCAGTACGACTGATAGTTCGCTTGTAGAGTTCGCTCCACCTTCGCCGGTTACAGCAACGACCGCCTCAGCACGTGCTACTGATAACACACTCTCGGCTATCGACTCGGCAGCCTGCTGCTTGTAAGAATCAGAATTATACATCATCTCTCATATCAATATATATATAAAACAAATATAAGAACTTGAGAAGTATATGAAAAATTAACAATAAAAAATACAATCAGATATAGGAGATATAAATCGCTTCAATTTAGCGAACACGCATAATATGGACTGCAGGAAGAACCGCACCTTTGCCGCCAGATTATCCGCGCTCGCGGCTTGATCCGTGGAGGCTACCGAGCCACGCATAGCTGTGTCGGTGCAATCTGGTAAGCTGGGAGTGCTACTTGACTTTCGACCCGTTAAAACTCCACCGCTACTCTTACACTTAGCTGCGCTGTCTGTCTCGAGAGTAGTGCCGACCAATCTGAGATCGTATTTTCCCTCTGCACCCATTCTGTACGAATTCGATCCACCATGATCCCACGTCACGTCTATCCATCCGTTGTGCAACTCACCCGTTACTGTACCTTCGCCTACAGTCAAATGTCAGTAATTACGTTGATTACTGTTATATCAGGAAGAGTGCTCTAATTGATTTTTACGTCACCTATATTTACAAACAATCTACTTATTCCGTTCTATACCGTCCTCGCACATACACTGAGTGTTAATAATATATTTAGTTATTTATTAGATATAGACCTTCGTTTTTCCGAATAATCGCAATAATGCACGAATAAATAATACTCAGACATTATGCGTAAGTTGCAAAATAATTAAGTAAATTGCGGATCTAGTAAGTAGTCAGGCATGAATGACATTCAGTATACCTGGTGGCACACCATCCTGATCCCTCCACTTCCAATCTAAACCTCTGGCCACTCGAACTCCTGCGACCAGATGTTTGAGGACTTGCGTCTTGATGAATCGTCTCTGCTTTCGCACACCGGCTTCGGCCTCTTTGGCGGCGCGACCTAGATCTTCGCACACGCCGGTGACTTCTCCGTAAACCTCGAAGCCAGACACCGATAGATAATGCGTCTGGCCGGAGGCGTTTTTGCCGATCTGTTGTAATCGTAAGTGCCGCCAGCCTTGTGTTTCTTCGCTCGGAGGTTCCAGCGTCCACGTGGCCGTGCTACCTGGTTCATTCAAGGAGCAATCGTCCACGTGGGCATACAGTGTGATCCACGTGACGCCGTCCTTCGATGCCTGGAACATCCAGTTCCTCAGAGCGCTTCTGCCGTAGCCTCTCGCGTGTCGCAGAGTGTAAGCGCTCGGGATGATCCAGACTCCGAGATCTATCGAGAACCAAGCACGCTTGTCGTCATTAGTGTGACAATTTAATGCGGATGGGTCGCGACTAAGAATATCCTCGAGATGACCATAAGGTAAGTTCCTTCCGTCGCTCGACGTGACCACTACCAGACCATATTGGCCCGGGTTCACCCACTCGGAACAGGTCTTGGCGTTCGTCCCGATCCAATATAGCACGCCATTTTCGTCAAAGTCGTGCTGATACTTGAACATTATCCTACTCTCCTCCTTTAGTTTCTTCACGAACGTGAACGTGGATCTGTCATGATCATGCCATTGTTTAGCTACCATTTTTAACAAGTGATTCTCCAATTGCTGTATCGTGCTGAGCGGTTCCATCTTCAAGCTACGACCGGATCTGTCTATCAACGCGCTCTCGCCGGAGGCTTTCTCCAGTCGAAAGCGCAATCTTCTTGTCAAGATCTACAAAAAGAAAAAGCAAGGAAAAACAAAATGTAAATCAAACTAGAGACTTGTGATGGTATAATACGCCTGTACAACTAATCACCTGCAGACCGTAACCTGATCCGGGTGTATCATACAGGTAGACAGGTAATTTCTCTATCGACTCCAACACCGAGACCAGTTTGTGAACCAAAATTTTCGCGGAGTTGTGTTCTTTATTCATGTCTTTCGTTTGAAAGCAGCTCTTGAATACGGTTATCCTCTGCATCCTAAGCTTGGTCGCCCTGAGAGTTGGTGGCGAAGGTCCAGGAGGTGCGGCTAGCAAAGCGAGCAACGCTTGTACGAGGCCACTGGAGTGCAATTCGTACGCAGACACCCGACCTTCCTCGTTCAGCAGCACCTTCAGCTGCTCCAACGCGGTCTGTAGTATATTACGCCACTCGCGATTGCCTGATTGTTGTTTCTGTGTGGCTTTCTCGATCTGGCTGACGATGGCGCCGAGTTTTGCCACTACGCCGCGCGGTTGAGCCTGTGCTGCCTTGAAGTAACGTTCGTAAATCTCCTGCGCTTGCACCTTCACCTTCTGCTTGATTGCTTCAATCTTTGATCTCAATCTCTTGCCTCTCTTGCCAGTCCATCCTGCCGCGAATTCCGGACCTATTATATAAACATCTCTAGATTCTATCAGCTCTAGACTCTTGTTGACTATAGAAAATAATAATTATATTATTACATTGTCACACACATAGGAAATAAATATAGAAGTATAAGAAATAGCCAGATCATATTATCACATATATAGAAAAAATATGTTGTATAAGTTATATATCATATAAAGGTGTATATGTTTTACAAATGATTCGAGACTTTCTTCGTACCTAAGCTGGTTTCCGCTGTAAAGGAATGCTTGGTACCACGGTTCGACTCGAAAATAAAACCGGGCAGGTCTTCCCTCAGGATAGTGGCCTGCTGTTGGCCGTCGCTATTGTGTATGCACAGCTCGCTCTCCTTTCTGCTGGACAATGCCCAGTTTCCTACAACCAAGCGCGTAGTGCCGGGCCGCGAAAGTACAGGCTGACTCACAAAGTTCACTTTCAACTGACTGCGCGCCCTTTGCAGTTTCTCCAGGAATTCGCCGCGATTCTCTGCAAATGACGGAGACACATTGGACAAACGATTCATCTGACCAGTCTCAGCGAAAGCTGAGATCAAATCATCGCTAGAGAATGAAATGTGCGTGCTATCAAGTTATAACAGACAGGGTAAACGGCATGCTATGAGATTCTCGAGTATGTAATTCGTGTGGAATGTTTAGAACATCGAGAGAGACAGGACAGCTTGCCCGACTACGAGAGAAAGAAAGAGAAAGAGCAATAGTGACAGAAAGATAGATAGATAGATAGATAAATGGAGAGAGAGAGAGAGAGAGAGAGAGAGAGAGAGAGGAGAGAGAGGGAGAGGGAGAGGGAGAGGGAGAGAGAGAGAGAGAGAGAGAGAGAGAGAGAGAGAGAGAGAGAGAGAGAGAGAGAGAGAGAGAGAGAGAGAGAGTTAAACATGTATGTGACCTACCTTCGGTGGTAAGCGACTCTGTATTCCTCCCCTTTCCTGTAGGCAGTTAGTAAAACCAGTTATTCTCTAAATAGAGTTCCCCTCACAGACGTTAATCACGAATGAGCGAATGTGTAACATAAAAATGATACTCGGGATAAGACATTCATCTATCGCCATTGAGAACGAGGACGAGTCGGATGGAGGACGAAGAAGCAATACTTCGAGTAAAAAATAAGGAAGGCAACAGTAGCGGGATGAACGATGAATGTGCGAATCTCGACGTGATCCATTCTAATTCTGAACGGACAGCTTCTCGACGTACGTAGGTACGAGAGTGCGAGTGGCGTGACTGTGCTTACCCGACGTGTCCGTTCCGCCTTCCGGGCTGCCGCTAGAATACATGGTGGCCAGTTTGCCGTCGAGGATGAATCGGAACCATCCGTTACTGCCGTTCGATAGTTCCAGGGCCGCCGCATCCGACCAGATGTACAGGCAATCTCGACCTCGACATATGCACCAGTCCCTCCAGTGATATGCTCTTCCCACTAGTAGCTCCTTCGCATCCTCCATCCGTTGTTCTTCGCCTGATTGATTCGACTCCGCTTCCGGTTCAGGCGTGGTCTCTTGCGGTCCGGCCAGGGCGGCTACTTTTGAGAATACTCCTAGACGTGCGAAGTGTTCCAAGAACTCGTCCTTGCCCTTAATCATCAAGTCCTGTATCATCTGCAGAACGACCAAGTGACCGTCCTCGTCCTCCTGTTAAACGTCAGAACACAGAAACATTTAGACGATTGTTTTCAGACTGAAACGTCAAGACTGGTTTTGCAAACCAGAGGTTGGCAAAAAAAAAAAAAAAAACAAGTCAAAGTCAACTATGTCAACTATGTAATTGACTTCTGGCTACGTAAAAGTGACTATTTTACAATCGTAAGCTCATACATAATAAATGTATCAGCGTGTTATATGTGGCATATTCTTCTCCTAGAATTACGTTCTAAATCGAGAAACGCAAACAAACACTTTTTTTTAGATCCCATCAGCGGCAAGCAGGCAGTAGACAAAGGTGGATCAGATACTTCGACAGCCTCGTCGAAAGTACATAATTCTCTAGTGAGTACACGTCTCTTTAATTCGCCCTCTTTGCAACTCGGTCAGTCGATTATATTAGTTTGTAGACAAATCGCACGTTAATGATAAGTAAAAGATCCATTCACCGCGAGGTCTCTCTCACAGAGACGCATGTCACGGCCGTAATGTCAGAAGTGTTACCAGCGCGCCTCACGATTACTCTGAGATTAAAATTAATCGTACGCTCGACTTGGTGAAGAGTAGTGGTGTACGCGCGGTTCTACTTGTACGAAATATCCGAGTGAATAGAGAACGACATGCGTAAGTGTGTTAGCTAAGTTCCACGCTTCAAAGTAAATGAGCAGTGAATGCGCACTTATACGTACAACGTGTTAATACGCTCATAAACGTAGACGAATGATCGCTCTACGTGATTATTAACGAACAAAATTAATGGAGACTGGCGGAATTATACGAAATTACACAACATTGGTGAGGACTTTGAAAAGGATTTCTTTCTCTCTCTCTCTGCAAGTAGCGGGCGATAGAAATATGCAGCACAGCAGACGTTACCGTCTTATCGAGAATGTAGTTGCGCGAACTCGAGGACTTGCGAGTGGTAAGGCCGGGTAATTTCGGGCCAATGAACGCCTTAAAAGCTGTAGACGGTGGCAACGGCGCCTTTATTTCGAGTTCCTGCGAACAATCTCCACTAAATCGCTTGGTAAACCGCCGACTCTGACTTGCTCCCTGCCTGCGCGCGTGCGTCGGGATCTCTTTCTTTCTCCTCATTACGTTTCTTTATTCTTGAGAATCTTACTCTTTCGCTCAACAAAATTCGAAAGAAAAAAAGAAATCGCAGAGCGACACTCGACGAAACGATTGACATTCGCTTTAAGATAACATGTCCTTACCTCGTTGTCCAATACATTAGCGATGACTTCCACGAGCATAGCTCCGCATCCTCCGGTGCTATCGGACCCGCAGGTCTCTATAAGTAACTCTGGTTGGATGTAGTGCACCATTTTTCTGATCAAACTTAAACTTGCTTTCCTAACACTCGGTAACATAGTTGATTGAAAAGTTGCACAGAATACTGGTAATAATCTTTTCAGGTAGACAGGCGCCATCTCGGGATCTCCCTTCGGCTCGGTGAACTCCTCTACTTCCGCCTCGAGTTTCCGATGCTCTTGATTCGGCGGTAACATCCATTCGCCAGGCGACTGTAATATCGCCGCGACTTCTCGATGTCCTTCGTCGACGCGCTCTCTAGCTTTGTCAAGCGGTGTTTTGCCATCTTCGTCCCGTAGATCGGGATTAGCACCGTGTCTAAGTAGGACTTTGGCAATGGCTGGCCTACCAAAACAAGCCGCATAATGCAAGCTAGATGAACGCTGACCCTTGTTTACATCCGCTCCTCGATCGCATAAGAACTCAACCATTTCTTGCGTGCCAAATGCGGATGCCCAATTAAGCAATGTCTGCCCAACGTCATCCATAAAATTGACTTCGATCCCGCCTGAATCGATCGCCTCTATCAGCGCATCTGTATCTTTTGAACGTATACAATCGATCAGCTGCCGGTGGGACTTCTCACCGGCGCTGTCCAAGCGTCTCAGTCTTGGTAATAAGGGTCCGGACGGCCCGCCTGTGGTACTACGGCCCAATGCCGATCTCCCTTCGAACAACAAGACCAAAAGGAGATCAACCAGTCTCATAGAATCGAGGGCGCATCGTTCGTCCCCTTTTAGTGCCTTCTCAATCGCGTCTGGTAATTCAGAACGTAAGAGATCATGTGTGATCGATGGTGATCCTCTGCAGAGTGTTGATAAAAGACTGATTATGGTTGACACTGAAGCACAGGATTTTGGTTCCGGAGCCGGAACTGTTGTCGCAGTACTAGATGGCGGGGGCGTTTTTGGGTTGCTACATGTTGCTGTAGCGGAAGTGCCCGGTCCTGCAGCGTTTGATAATCTAGAAAATGGTTTATGTACATGAAAAATATATGTGCAAACATGATAATATATAATATAAAATAATACATCAATGGTCATACATATATATCATATATGTATACGAGTGTACCTGTACAAAAGCTCAGAAACTAATCCATTTGATGCCAACGGCGCAGGGTCGGTGCCTCTTCTAGAAAATCTATCTGCCAACGATGCGAAACAACGAAGCGCCCCGTCTGCGACATGTGCATCCTCGTGCCTCAGTAAGACCGACAGAGCTTCGACACAATCTGGCAGAGCTTTATCTTGGGGTTCCACTTTGCCGCACAATCGGGTGACTACTGCCATCGCCGAATGCAATGTGTCCCGATGTACACGTGCTCCGTGTTCTCGAATGAAACACAAGGCGCAAGGAAGGCCGCCTGCCTCGAACACAGCACCCGCTTCTCTTGCGCACACAAGTTCCAATACCTGAATAAGAAAAAATATACACATACAGAATTTTATCCGTATTGTCTTTTATCTAAAAACAACTCGTTTGTATGTACCTTTATACATTGCTCCGCTAGATCTCGACTAGCTCTAGAACCGAGTCCGGCACCAGACAGTCGACTACAGATAGCTTTCACAGCACCTTCCATAGCCACCACTCTTCGCGTACATTCTGCCGAAACATCAAGATAATATGTGATGGCTCGTGCAGTCACTTCTAAGACACTGTCTGGTACTAATTCGTCCAGAAAGATCCTGCAAAGCGCTGGGAGAAACGTGCGTGGCGGGCAACTAGTGGACATACCAAACATTGCACAAAGTTATATCGCGTGTCGACATCGAAAATCATTACAGCACAATTATTCATTCCATTCGCATACCATTCAAAGCAACGATCGACGTTATCAGACATAAGCAGGAGCATACATAATTGCTCTAATGCAATCAACTGCATATCCCTTTCGTCTCCTTGCCCCATACTAAGCCATTCCAGCAGAGTCTCAGGATCAACATCCGCCATCTTTGAAGAAAAATAAATTGTCAGTTTACCAGAAGTTATTAATTTTTAGTGTCTAAATATATAGGATACTTTTCGGGCTATATACATCTGGACAAACTGACGCTAAAAATATTAATATTGTTCTACAGAAAAGAATATTTTTCTAAGCCATATAAATATTATATGGAATAAATATTAACATGAAAACAATTATAACATATAAATTTATCTTTTGTTTAAAATGGTACGCTTTCTTGCATCTTTATTAACATTTATTTATATTACTAGTTAAAACTAAAACAGGATATATGTATATTCAATTGTCAACTAAATTTTCCAACTGATGCTTATAATTATAACGCAAAAATAATTCATATTGATGTAATGCAAAAATACAAAATATGTTTTGTTACAATCAATACAATTTTGACATTTCATATGCTTTAATAAATCAATATACGTTGTATCTATGTTAACAGGATATTTAAAAATAGAGTATTTAAAAATTTAATATTTTAACTGTACTCCCATAGGATAGATTGTTGCAAAATATTGATTAAAAAATAAATTATGTATTCAATTTTAAATTAATTATATAAATCTCTTATTTCTAAGCTCATAAATAATGATTTCTGAAAAATAAAAAATATTTATTGATTATTCTAAAATGATGCATGAGTGATTACATTTATTACGAAATAATCTGATATATTTCATCAATTTTTTATATTTACCTTATACCTTTAGTAGCACCAGTAGAGTGGATATTACTTCGATATTCTGAAAGTTACATAGAAAATGTCATTGGTTCATATAAATTAGTCACTCACATCGCCCGAAGAACGAGACAAAAAATCGTAAGAACACAACAAAGCGAGACGCGAGTCATCCGTGAATATCCGGTGCCCGTTTGATCGCTTGAGATTTAAACTGCACAATTTGCAATTCTGCGACGCGACGTCGCAAGGCCGAAATAAATTCTCTCCGTAATTTCGCAACGCGACACGAATTACTTCAATAATCCACTCCTATCTTTATGTTCCTCGAGAAACAATAACTCCACGGAATCGAAGAACGTGGCGAGTTGTTGCACGTCATTATACACAGCGTGTATAATCACGAGATCGATGCGATTCGACAGTATGAAGACACGCGATCGTGCAGCAATACGCCACGATATACGCGCGTGCACGATATCGCCGTCGAGTCGCGAGGAAGACGCTCGACATTTGCAGATGCGCGACGATCAAGGAAAAAACGTTCGCGTAACCTTTCCGTCGCACGAATTCGACCTCGTCTCGGGGGGAAAGCGGACAATCGCAGCAGCGCAAACACGATATCCGGAATGAAATTCAGAATAGCGACGACGACGTCGACAACGACGACAGGGAGGCACATGTCGACAAATAAATTCCGTTCGCACAGCTACCGTTATTATTAAAACGTACCGTTGCGCACAGCATTCCATTCTTCGTGAGAGGTCAAGTCGCCATCCTCCTGCGGACGTGTCGTTCGCCACCGCGGATAAACGGGAAACGGCTCGTCCGTGCGCACGTCGACGTCCGTTGTGGCTGTTGACAATGCGACTTGGCCTTCGCGCTGAACGACTGACTCGACTTGACTCGAGAGATCGCGCGACAAATCAATCCTATTTTCTCTTTATATCACCGTCTCATATACGTCATATACGCTGCTCGCCATTTACGTGACGTTCGATCTTGATGTAGTCTAGATTCACACAACTCGCCACGCTTTAACGAGAAGTAAGCCGAATTTCCACACGCGGTCAGTGGCGGGGAGATAAGGTCTGTTTCTTTTTTCGTCGAGTCGCCGTCGAGTGGCGACTCCTACACGCACGAGGCATCAGCGAATCCGTGGTAGCTTCACGAATTCATCCAATGTTCTCCAACGGATATCGTTGGAAGCAGCCGATTGGTCGTCGTTTGGAGAATCGTAAGGTCTGCCATTACGATTTCCGAGGCTCTGAGAATTTCCTATCTGGTTCTGTGGGGATATGTCATCTCTAAAAAGATCTCCTATTGGATGTCCACTGTGTTTTAAGACTCGTCGCGAAGAAGCGACACGGTTGTTTAGTCGGCGAATTACAGGTACGAAAATCCAATATTGAATGTATATCTGCAAAAGTGAGTTGGTTCATGAACAACATGTTTACACGCGTCTACACGTGCTGCAGTTTGTCTTGTGATAACCTGTAACCTGTAACTTGAGGCAGTAATAGAGAAAAATCTGTAGTTTTCTATGCAAATAGGAAATTTGATTAATTGCGAGTATAATTTAATTTATTGATTAATTGCAAGTATAATTTATTTCAGATATTACATAAACGTACATTTATTTCATCTTGTAACATCTTCTTATGTACACATGTATACTTATTTGCAGACGACATTAATAATAAAGTTATGCGTAAGCCCAGGAAATTACATAAACTAATTAAACGAAGGGAACGCACATTGAACGTATGTCTCCCTCACACGATAAAGGACAAGAAAGAAGTCGAAGATTTGTTTGTTGGTGATTTTCATGTAAAACTACCACGGCAGACCAGTAGATCCTGTCATGTCGTGTTCAGCAGTATGGAGGAAAAAGTTAAGAATCAGAAGCTTGTAAAAAACAAAACAATCAATGGCAAATGCATTAGAGTTCAACCGTTACATGACATTGTAATTGCTGAAAGAAACAAAGTGAAAAAGAAGAACAAAAAAATCTTTATACCAGAAATCATACCCGATATTAAAATAACACAAACGTAAGAAAAAGCTTATGTTTTCTATTTATATTATTTTGTAGGATAGGATTATTAATATTTTGTTATGTATTTCCATAGGATATTTGTTGCAAATATAATAATTGGTACAAAAGCAGATGAAATAAAAGGTACCTTACCTGGATGTATCTCTGTTACTTTATTGAAACCTTACAACAATAAGTTTAGGTAAACATATTTAATGGATATATTATATCCCTAATATCTAGGTTATATATTGAAATATTCTTTATTCACAATACATATATTTGTGCAGAGGTGCAATAATTAAGATGGAGAACATCCAGATAGCAGCAGAATATTTGAAGAAAAAGCATAAATGGCCAATTATAAAAGGGCACAAAGTATTTTTAAAACCAGATACCAGAACGAAGCACAAGAAGAAAGCATCTACTGGCAGTATAAAAATTTATGATGATGCAATGGAAGTATCTATCAAGGAAGAATGTGAATCTGATGAAGAACATAAGAATTCAGATTGTAGAGAGAGTAATGACGAGAGTAGTTAGAAAAGTAAGATTAAAATACTTCTATTGTTAACTGTTACAGTTTCTCATTTGAATCACCTCTTTTAAATTGATCCTTATCATTGATCCCCTGTAATTCTCAATTATGTTTCTCACTGATGTTCCTTTGCTTTCTGATTTGTTTAAACTTGCTGATTGAAGAGATGCAGAAGAAATACAATATCTCAATGACTGAGATTATACTGCATCCTAAGAACAAGCCATAAATGCCGCCTAAAGATGCTGTTGAACCGATTTATTAGTTAATTTACATAAGTAAATCTATCGCTCTCTATATTGTATTACCACTTACACAAGAGATGTATGTTCGACAGCACCAGTTTCCGCTGCTGCAGCTTTGCCATTTGCCCAGCAAACGTAAGGTGAAGTGCAGTTACATTTTTGTATTGCAGAACTTTCTTGCTGTAACAATAACATTTCGTTGTCTTTATCTTAATATAATGTAATATAATATAATGTTTATACATGTAGGAGAAATCGATCGACGATCCCAAGCGGGTATATACTTGTAACGCGAAATCCGCGTTTGTCACGTCAATTGATTTCCCCTCTTATAAAAGTTAATGATACACTGAGAGAAAAATGTTTGGTATTTGTGACAATAATTGCGTAACAAAGTATAATTATACTCAGGAAACTTTTCGTAGTGTAAGCTCTATTATAATATTAGTAACTATTATCTTGCATATATATATTTTTTATGTGCTAAAAGAACTTTATTTAAAATTCATTTTTTGTTTAGGACGAAAAATATAGTACCGAATATAATTTTAATGAAGTTAACCATTTCCTGTCTCAGTGTACATTCGTCACTCACTAGAGCGGTCGTGGGCTATACTGCGCCGCATTCAAAGGTGCGGTCGCGAGCACTACTCTGTATGTGGTGTCTTCACAATCTGGTAGACAAGTACATTGTGGATCCCGTTCGATTACAGAGTACGTCCGCAATACAGCCCGTGCCAGACACGAAATATGCGTGAGGTCGCAGGGATGATTGGCGCGCTCCGCGGCGTTCACCGCGGGTGCCGATGACAAGGGCATGCAGCCACAGAGTTTCCACACGGCAGAGTCGCGGCACTCGACCTGACAATTGATTGAGCGATATAGCCGATCCTGCGGCCCGCTTGTGCTTGTAGAACATCCCCGTGCGCGAGCTGACAACTCCAGCACGTCGGACGTGCTAGTTAACAGAGTGCCGTCCAATTGCGCTATCGTCTCATGGCTTGCCGCGGCCATGAACTCCACTGCCTTCAGCGATGGATACGTGTTCCTCTCATGTACGATCACCCTCACGCCGTCACCGTATGTGATGGAGGCCGCGTGGTCCTTCAACGGGTACGAACGCATGAGGAGCGACAGGACGAAGTGCGAGCCGACCTTCGTGCTCTTATGTTGCTTCAAGAGCTTCGTGGATCTGAAAAGATGATCAATTAGTTTTTGTTTCGACTTGACTTGCTTCTAGCTAAAGTCTCGGAGGCAAGAAGTCGAGTTCTGCTCGATCGAGAAGCCTGATGATAGAATACCATCAAGGTCGCAACCTCGTTTTTTAAGTTCTTTAGCAGCTCTGACTGTTGTAACAAGAATTGACTGAAGTATGTCATGACTTTCATTTTTTTTATAGGTCTTCCAAGAATGAGGCATAAACAATATTTAATTTCTCTAAGTAGAACAAATCAATCATTTAGTTTAATGTCTGGTATATCGAGAATTTAATGAAAACTACTAGATCAGTCATTTCCAATTTTCACGTTTAATTAGCGAGAAAGAAGTGGCCAAAGTATCTCACGAGGAGATGCACTAAAAACAAGTATTTTTTTTTAATTGAAACAACAGACCCAACTAACAGTGGAGTGACATTACATCAATGTTACGATTTCTCATTCAATAATGTCACTGCTATGTGCAACATGTGTGTTATATATTACTTTCAAGTATCTATTTGAAATATTTATCTATATAGTATAGAAAAATATATACGAGATAACATTCGAATAACTGCTACTCTTACAAATTACATACCGTTTTATCTGTCGCGTATAAAGTAGCGTATATAAAATTTCTAGCCAACCTCTATGTGATATATTTCTCTACTTGTTTTCTTTTTTTATTATTATCTTCTTTTTCATATTATCGGGAAAACGTGACGTCCGTTCAAACTGACGGAAGCCGCATATTGCTCACTTGACTTCTGACATGAGTTTTTTGTAATCGCCACAGGCACGACCAATAATAAAATTATACAGTGATATTTCTTTTTATTAATTCGAATGCGAACGTGGATTCATCACTCGATGAATCTACGTTCGCATTCGAATGTTCATTTTTATCGCGATAATCGCACAGCCGATAACGAACTCAATAGCGTTCGTTATTTCTTCGGTCATATATGTTTGGTAAAGCCGCTCGCTCTATCTCGAGAGCCAGAGAGAAAGAGAGGGAAGGAGAGAGAAACTGAGATTCCGCAGATTCCTGTCGGGTGAGGCGAAAACAAACATTCGCGGCAAACTGATTACGTAACAATACGTTTACACCAAAGTATAAATTCCCCGCGGTCAGGTAAGAAAAAAGTTCGCCTCGTGAACGTATAAGAACGTTAAGTAACGGCACATATGCGTACATGTACATATGTCGGATGTCGATCGTGGGGAGTGCGTTGTGGTCAAGGTGAAAATTTCATAACTCCTTCTTCGGCGCCGTCGCGGCGACGCTTACTGACTACATCCAAGTGGAACTCAGTGTGCGACCGGTACCAGAAGAACGACGGGTCGAGCGCAACGTGTCCCGAGCATAAGCGAAGGAACGTCGACAGGTTTTCGATGTCTTCGGCTTTCGACTTTTCTCAAAAGTTCCTCTTTCTTTCGATCTTTTCCTCTTTAACGTTTTCTCGTGGTCGTTCGAGTTACCTCTGCGAGCTCCCGTAGGAAAATTCGTAGTTGAAGGCGCAACAAATCCCGTAATAAGTGACCACCGGCTCGATCAGCCTCGAGCAGGGCACAGTTTGTCCCTCGAGCTGGCACAACAGGAAGAAATCGCTGCAATTCGGATTCACGTTCTCGAAGAGGTCCAACAGTGAGAGTCGGTTCGCTGAGAGAATCTGCTGCAGTTGATCCAGCTCGTCAGGGAAATGATTTTTGGGATAGATCGCTTCCCGTAAGTATCTGAGAGACTGCTCGAAGTCGGAACGCGTTAGCCCGCGCGGCATGTATCTGATGAGAATTCGAGGAAGGTAATCGTAGTAAATTTTAATAATTATGATCATCCAGAAAAATGTGAAGATCATAGGGATGATGGAAATTAGAATGTCGATCGGAGTTTAAACATCGATGTGAGTGTGTGTGTGTACAGTGACAACTTGTCATCAGGATTCATCAGGATATCTGCATGCAGATGAGACGTATGAATACGACAGAACACCAAATATTTCGTTTTACTTTGGATATCTTCTTCGATTTTGCACGATGGAAACATAGAAAAATCAGAATTATTCAATTTTTCAATTATTTGGAACTTTTTTTACATTTACACCCCATTACACATGTAAAATTTTATTATAATTTTTTCCGACAAATCGTGCAGATTTGAAACGTCACAATTTTTTTAATACGATTTTATAATGTGCGATTTAAAAGATTCCAAAATGAAGCAAAACGTCCGGTGCACCTCATTAATTTTTTATGTGCACCTCATAAATTTTTTGCGTTTTCTTGTTAAATTATTATGCGTATTCACGTCACGCGTTTCGAGTCCAATTAGCTCATGCCTCTGAATACCACCTCTGAAGTTGTTTCATTCTTTTAGTTATTCACGATTTCGCCGACGCTAATGAGAAATAGTTATTAAATTGCAAATCGCTCACATCCGCTTCTGCGACGTCAAATAAGAAACCACTTTGTATGTCATCGCGATACCACCATGGCACAATGTTAATGCTGGCAATTCCAGCATGGATGTCGGATATTGTGTGCTGATCACCAAGGTGCTCATGCTTGCGGATTGATGCCTTTCGTAGAATAAAATTGCCATTTGTCCGGCAGACAAGAAGGATAATAGCAGAATAATCACCCAAATCAACCTAAGGAATAATGCATTTAACGTTACTATGGCCATTCATAAACAATAATTCAATTTAAATTGCAATCCGATGTCAACTGCAAAATTCGTTGCACAGTCACTGCACAGTTATCGAGTAATTCCTTGCGAAACGCATGAAAATCAATACAGTACAAAATTCATTTTTTAATGCTAAAAAAGATATTATATTAGAAAAATTGAGACATTTCAAATTTTGACCAGAGTTTGATTTCCAGCGTTTTCAATCTTAATCTTTCGTCATTTTCTTCTCACAAGAACAGTTTGCAGTGACGAATTAAAAAAAGAAAAGGAAAACTAATCGGTTGATATATTACCTCTCCAGTCTGGTTTTTGCTAAGATTATATGTTTGAATCCATTTATCGTCGACTCCAGTGAAAACTCCTTGTAAACAACGATGAGAGTTCGCAATATATCTTTCGCAACTTGGAGAAACATGTCTCTTTCGCGAGGATTCTATCACCGTCAGAAATCGTGTAACACGTATTTTCCGAGGAAGTTTAACGCGCGAGAATCGGCCGAAAAGTGCCAAGTTGTGAATCGATAGGTGTACACTTTCGGCCATTCTAGCCTGAAACACGTTAATTTGCGTGTACTTGCATTATTAATCAAATACTGTACGTTAATTACCTTCGCGAGAACCGCTATCGTGCCGACAAACAATCAAAACCCCTCAATGACTCAGTTTCTGTAAATAAGTAATAACAAATTCCCATGGAAACACATGAAAGACGCGTCAAAATTACCTTCCAACAGACGTGTCGGACGAGAAAAAGAAACTACCCGAAAATATGAAAAATTCGATTTATTTACCCATTCCTCATTTGTCAATTCATTTGCCGAAAACAATAAAAGTAATCGCCGAATTCTAACCTCCCTCCGCGCGACGACACGAACTGTTGATAGTGAGACCACGTGACTCTACGTCACACTATGCATTTTCAATTATCAAATCAAAACCGATGCAGCAATTAAAGTATAAACGTTACAGTAACAATAGTATTCCTTAATCTAAATACTTGATTTCATATTTTATATATCGATTCAATATTTTAGACATCGGAAACGTCTTGAGCACCTTTTATTCCTCCGAATTGTTCGATTTTTTAAATAAGATCAAGGCTACGTTCCGATATTCACTGCCAGCACTGATAATCTATAGTATACGTGACACAAACTATGTATCTTCAGTACTGGCAGTGAATATCGGAACGGATCGGCCCAAATTATTTCATCAATCATCAGCAAGTTCGTTCAGTTACGAAACGATCGCGTCGCGACAGTTGCAGGGATTTGAGAAGTTTCCCGGGATTTTGGCTCGTCGTAGACGAGTTTCGTCGCCGGATAGGCCGAAGTGAGTCTCTCGCACTTGTTACCGCGAAATATCATAAAATATTGCAAAGAACGGAATTCTTAGGTAACAAATGAGCGTTTCATCCAGGAATATCAAGAGCAATAAGGCGTGTTCGCTATTCGCGCAATGGCGGTAACTCGAAGTTCGAATTTCGTCGTTTTCGATGCTGTCGCGGTCGGGAGCACCGTCGAGAGAGTGAGTATCGCGCGAGTTTATCGCGACGAAGTAACGCCGGATACCCGGCTGAGAATGAATATCTCATGGAAAGTCGCGGGTTATCGGAAGTGTCGTCCATGAGTATCGCGCGCGTTGTGCCGTTATGTCCGTTCGAAGTTCAACGAATCGCCGCGTCGTCGATCTGGTTGAAGAGTCTCGACTGCGAATCATCGTCGAGAGTGCCGCGACACTGTTTTGTTCGGGAGTGCCGAGTCTGAAGGTATTCGTCGCGTCTCAGAGATCCAGAGTTCAGGTTGCTGCGAATTGTGTCTTGGAGCCGCTCAGGTCGAGAAGGATGGTGAGTAACGGACTAACGATTTTCACACGCTGAATTTCATTCGTCGCAATTTAAGCGAATTCTGAAGGAAGGAACACGAAGGGGAAAGAGCGCATCGTCGTTTGGCGCCGAGGGCGCGAGCGAAGATAGCGCGTAAAAAACGCAGGACACGTTAAGTTTAATTCCATTAAAAATCCAGTCCGGCATATTCCTTTGCGATGTTTTAACGATCGACAAAATGGCCGATAATGCGTACACGAAAACGCGAGCGATAATATTAATGCTCTTTCTGAAGCCGGCCAATCACAGTGGTGAATTTCAAATTGAAATTTCAAACGACGATTCTCCACCGTGATTGGTCGAACAGCTTGCCCTTCAAATCTTACCGCACATTTCGCGGTGGCGTTCGCGAGAAGAAAGCAATCGGTAAAGTCGGTGCTCTTCGATTATCCGTTCGTGTGCATCAGCAGTCGATTCAAGTCGACTGTCTTCGATAATCGCACTCTATCGATGGTGCAGTTTGAGGAGGAACGAATCTATCGTGCGTCGTGATGCGTCTCTCGTGAGGCAAATGCGAGAGAGAGAGAGAGAGAGAGAGAGAGAGAGAGAGAGAGAGAGAGAGAGAGAGAGAGAGAGAGAGAGCGTGATCGACGGGCGACCTGACAGTCTACAATCGTCTCAACGTCATCGCGTGATTCTTTGTATTTTAAAGCCAATTATCTCACGCACTGCGGTCGCGCGCGCGCGACGATGATCTTGCATTCGCGTACGTTCGCCGATCGATGTCACGCGTGTCCGCCAACATCGGCCGAAAATGTAATACGGGCGTAAGATCGCCGGCGGGCCCGACGACGGTGTTGCTGCGCGTCAGAACTAACCTAGACGTGTGCGGTGCGAGGCGACGCGACGCGACGGTGTGCGTTCGCGGACAAGACATAGATCGCGTCATGAATCGCACCGCTCGTACTTGCCGTTTCGCAGCAACGTGGTAGTGCAGCGTGTTCGTCGACCGCGCGACCTCCGGATTCGTTTATAGGTTATCCTGACCAAACGGTCGCCCAACCGATTAATCCCTGCAACGACGGGACCGCGCGCTCGTCGCGCAGTTGACGCATTTTTCTCGCCCGCCTTTTGGTTACGTTTTTTTTTACGCGCGACGTGTTCTGAAGTAATCCTCGTCGTGAGGCCGCCTACGTGGGGGTTCATTACCGACCGCATATCAATCCGTTAATCTTCGTCATGTGCCCTGCGAGGATCAAGTCGTTCCTGTCGACAGCTACTGCGCACCCTGATTTCAGACAGGTAACTTTGCAAAAAAGTATCTCGTCTCGAGTTTCTCTCCCTTTTATTTGCGAGAAATGCTCACCTTGTTTATTCGGCGATTTTAATTTGTCGTTATAGGAGGTTTATACTTGATGTAATGATAATGGTACAGTGATAATGGTGCTATGTCAACAAATGCGTGCAAATGTGCTTGTATCAAGTATGCATAATGTATCAGTGCGATAATAATACCAATAAAATAGAACGTTATCACTTCTCATTTGCGTTTTAAGTATCTTATTTGGGTTTTAAAAATATAGGTTGAAGGCTTTGAATCTTGTTCTTTTGAGCTTTTTCACTGCAAATTCTTTTCTTTCTATATCAGACTTTGGATTGTGCAAGTACTCTTTTAAGAATTCTCACAAGTATTCCTACAAGTACTTCTCCTGCAAATATCCCTGTAAGTTCCCACATATTCAACGCATATGTATATTCGCAGAAAGTGTCTCTTTGCCAAAAGCATGTTTGACACATGTAAATCTTTGTCTTGTTGCAGCAATACAAGAGAGCAACAGTGACTGCGTTTTGGAGGGACTTTTAAGCCACATAAATAGCATTATGTGCTTGTGACTACGTATAGATCTATTCACATTCGAGAAATAATGCTTAGAACCGCCGCATACCTTTGTATAACCTGACTGTATCAAAGATGCAAGCCAAGAAACGCTATTTGTTGTTGTTTGTAACCTGCGCGTTTCTTGGTTACTGTTATTTCGGCGGTTACCGTTTGAAAAGCGAAAAATGGACAGGCAGATCTCAGTTGCCTTACGAGCGATTGCCTTCATATTTAAGTCTAAACGAAGAGTTCTACGACAAAGATTTAAGGACATCCAACGGCAACCTGGCTATGTCCCAGCGCACGAGGCATTGCCGTATGGAGACCTGCTTCGATTTCACGCGATGCAAGCAGGGTTTCACCGTGTACGTGTATCCAGTTGAGGATGTGATAAGTCCATTATACCAAAAAATATTAAACGTTATCACCGAGTCGCGGTATTACACGTCGGACCCAGCCCGGGCATGTATATTCGTCTTAGCCCTGGACACGTTAGATAGGGACCCCTTGTCCACTGAATTTGTACACAACCTGCCCTCCAAACTACTGCACCTGCCGTACTGGAATAACGGCAGGAATCATCTAATATTCAATCTATACTCTGGCACGTGGCCCGACTACGCGGAGGAATCGTTGGTCTTCGACGTAGGCTACGCGATACTTGCCAAGGCCAGTATGTCTATCTTCAGATATCGCCCGGATTTCGACGTGTCGATACCGTTGTTCGGCAAGCAACACCCGGAACGCGGCGGCGAGCCCGGACAGGCGTTGGAGAACAATTTCCCTAGCAACAAAAAGTACGTGGCAGCTTTCAAAGGGAAACGATACGTGCACGGGATCGGATCCGAGACGAGGAACGCTCTCTATCACCTGCACAACGGCAAAGACTTGGTGTTTGTCACCACCTGCCGCCACGGCAAGGCGTGGCGGGAATTGCAGGACGAACACTGTCAGCAAGATAATCAGGAGTACGATACGTGAGTAACGTAAATCAACCATAAAAGTGTCCGTATTATCTCGCGATATACAAGATGAGTTACCTAATATTTGATTCTAAGGTACATCCGTTATTTTCTTTTTTATATATTTGAAAATAAGGAATTATGCCTTCTAACTACATAATTTATTTTTTTTGCATATTTTCCTCTAATATATAGAACAGATGTATTTTGGAATCGAACGTTAGGTGACTCACCCTATATATTGTAATTTAAGCAGTTTCTCTCAAGTTTCAAGCAGCGAAGATTTAACCGCGTCTATTTCTCTTAACAGGTATGACTATGAGATTCTATTAATGAACGCTACGTTTTGTTTGGTCCCACGAGGACGACGATTGGGCAGCTTTCGGTTCCTAGAAGCCTTACGAGCGGGATGTATTCCAGTTATCTTAAGTAACGGTTGGGCTCTTCCCTTCCACGAACGTATCGATTGGACTCAGGCTGTTATATTTTCCGACGAAAGACTGTTACTTCAAGTAAGTTGCGTGGAACACGCTTCCGATTACGGGAGCCGAGTTCTCTGTTTTCACTCCTTGTCTCCTAATATAACTTCAATTCCGCATGTTCCGCAGATTCCAGATATAGTGCGGTCCGTGTCCAATGTACAAATTCTTAAATTGCGGCAGCAAACGCAGTTTCTGTGGGAGAGATATTTTTCGTCCATCGAGAAAATCGTATTCACCGTATTCGAGGTGAGTTCGTGTGTTCGTGCGTCCTTCAATTCGAGATCTGTCTTATTTTCGATTTCGTTAATTTCAATCGTCGTTCTAGAATATTCGCGAACGCTTGCCGTGGGAAGGTGCGCGGGAAAGGGTCGTTTGGAATACCAGTCCTGGTGGTCTGGCGATCCTGCCGCAATTTGCCGACAGTCAGCAGGAGCTCCCGTTCTCGAACAGTAACCCTGGTAACACCTTCACTGCCATCATTTACTCACAATTGGGTTCCACCGCCGTTCTTTATCGTCTGATTAAGAGTCTCTCGAAGAGCAAATATTTAGATAAGGTAAGATGCTCATGTCCTATCTCTTTTCTGTCTTTTTTTTTTTCTTTTTTTCCTTCCATCAACTTTTCCGTCATCTCCTTTTGCGCAATATTCCGATGTTCTGATATAACGCATATGTTATTTCTCCTTGAAGATAATACTTATGTGGAACTCGGACGTTCCGGTGCCAAGGAGGCCGCGTTGGCAAGGGATCAAAGCGTTGATCCATGTGGTCGCGGTTGACGGTATATCGCAGCGTTTCTACCCTCATCCTTTAATCAAAACTAGTGCCATATTGTCTCTCGATGAAGACGCCACTCTGAACAGCGACGAGGTGGATTTCGCCTTCACGGTCTGGCGCTCTTTTCCCGATCGAATAGTTGGATATCCAGCGAGATCTCATTATTGGGATGACTCAAAAGTGAGTACGCGCGATCCGGACAAGTTAAATTCGTCTCCCGTCGGTCTGTATGAGGTTTTGCAAGTTCATCAACACCTGTTGTGTGCCTGTAGCGTTCCTGGGGTTACACGAGCAAGTGGACGAACGATTATAGTATCATTCTCACCGGTGCCGCGTTTTATCACCGTTACTACAATACTCTTTACACCGAATTATTGAGTTCGACTCTCCACAAGACCGTCGAGCAGTCGCAGAATTGCGAGGACATTCTCATGAACTTCCTGGTGAGTCACGTCACCCGGAGGCCGCCTATCAAAGTGACACAGCGGAAGCTGTATAAAGACACCGCGGTGGCTGGCATCAGGTAGGTGACGTGTAGGTGACGTGTCATGTTGCATTTCGCACCAATAGTATTGTCATAGCATCGTAAAGCGTATCGCTTGTCGTTTATCTCGTCACGTTTGTTAAAAATACACGTGGCTTCTCTCCACTGTTTCAGGTCACCGTGGAACGATCCAGATCACTTCATACAACGACAAACGTGTATGAATACGTTCGTCGCGGTGTTCGGATACATGCCGCTGTTGCGATCCAACATGCGGCTGGACCCCGTACTGTTCAAAGACTCTGTCAGCAATCTGCGCAAAAAGTATAGGCAAATTGAACTAGTTAGCAACTAGAATTTTACACACTCACACCCACACACGTACACACGACGCTCGGTTACGCGCACGAATATTTAATTTCTCGTGCGCGTGTGTCCGATGCCATCGCGCGATGGATGCTGGGTCTGTTTCCTTTCAGCTGTGCGCTATGCTACGTACTGTGTCCGCATATTTTTTTGTTGTACACAGTTTCAGCAGCCGGAGGGGATTAGGAAAGAGCGAAGAGGAAAAATTTGCGAGGGAGTATAGTGAGTATACATAGCGAAAAAAAAAAAAAGAAAAGAAACAAGAAAAAGAAAAGGGCAGACCTACTGTGTCATCGTCTAAAAGTGCAAACGCGCGAGAGCGCGCATGTCTAGTACGCAGCTACATTTGCGCGTTTGTTGTGAGCTACTCTACCGCCATACTAGGTTTATCCTCGTTGTCTCATCGGGCAATCAAATCAAAGTCCGTTTATTCGGCAAGGACCTCATGGTGATAAGTCTGCGATTTATTTGCGAGTAATTTTGTACAAATTGTAGAGAATAGCGACGATATACGCCGTTTCTATTCGACGATCGGACCTCTCGCTTAGCCGAGAGGTCACTCGCGATTCAATCGATGTACATATACACAGATCGTTTCATAGTTAATAAAAAAGAAATTATTTAACAAAAACACTTGGACTTTTCAGACCGGCCATTAAGATCACAATTCGAGCAATTCGATGACAAAGCAAAGAAAAAAGAAGAAAAAAAAAGGAAAGAAAGAGTTTCGCGAATTTTTGCGCGAAGATTGCGCGCGTGATTTCTCTCGCGCTCTCGCACACTGATGGATGCTAATGTATTTAAGATAATGAAAGAAAAGAAAAAAAAATGCAAAGAGATATCGTTTGTATGTATAATGATAATATTTTTAATCATAGAGATTTGCAAAATGTTTTTCTATCCGAATAAATGTATTCGTGTATAATCCTTTTAGACTCAGAGAAGAGAGAAAGAGAAAACGTCGTGAGATGTCGTTAAGAGGGTATCAGAATATAGACTTCGCCGAGTGTTCTCGGTAATCATTACGGAAAGAAGCCGATATTCCATATATCGAAGAGAGACGTGTGAGCGAGATTCGTTTGTATTTAAAACAATTGTAAAGACGTTGAGCTTTAACGCGATCGTTAATGTCGATCTTTCTCCAGCTATCGAATCATTTTAATAACGCATAAATTATTCGCGTTGTTGACCTTTCGTTTGATCAGCGAGAAAGAAAGGTGGAGAGAAAAGCAGGAGAGTTCTTATATTTGAACTCATAACCGTGTACCGATCTTGTGTCCGACGGTATGAGGATTCAATAAAGAGAGTCAATTTGTTCAACTATGCATACATATCGCCGCATACGTTGCATTTACTTCGCGATCGCTCGTTATGTGTGTCGCACTGATTCACAAGTGCGTCTTTCTCGGATTTATGCCGTACAAGCATCTTTTCATTCGAATACTGCCGAGTTCTCAGGAACGTTTCAAAAAACAAACAAAAAAAAAGAAAAAAAGGAAGACGCAGGAAAGAAACTTCCTACCCCCATCTGCAAAAAGTAACAATGTCGCAACAATGTCTAGTCGTTTATACCGATAAACGTGCGCTGTTATACACGACGGAGGGAGAGAAGCGTTAATGTGTAATAATTCCTCGATATAAGGAGAACCGTAAATCAATACGGCGTCTCTGTGTTCGTCTACGCGTTCTGAGGACGGAAGCTATCTGTATGTGATATGTTTTCGATTATTGTGTGTTTTATATAATAATGATTTTTATAATAACTCAGAGGAATATTAAAGGAGCTCTATATAATTTTTACGCATATAATATATACACACACACACACACACACACACACACACACACATGTATGTATTTCTACGATTTCAGGAGAGCATGCGCTCACGCGCGAATGCATTAGATTCAGGAGAACGATTGCCTCCTCCACCTCTTCCCCCTCCTCATCCTCCCCCTCTCCCCTCCTCATCCTCCCCTCCCTCCTCCTCCTCCTCCTCCCCCCCTCCTCCTCCTCCTCTTCCTCCTCCTCCTCCTCCTCCTCCTCCTCCTCCTCCTCCTCCTCCTCCTCCTCCTCCTCCTCCTCCTCCTCCTCCTCCTCCTCCTCCTCCGCGAGGTAATCAGAATCTTTATTATATTCTTGTTACGCATAATGTGTGTTTAACGATCGCCCGTTATTGTTCGTTCGTTTATTTCTCAGCGATACAATGTATGTCTGCAATTTTCATTATTATTATCCCACATTTGATTCGCGTCGATCGATAAATGTTTGTAAATTAGTATCTAGATGTATATAGAAGCTGGTAAACACACTAATCCATCGCGAACCCACGGCGAAATGATCCCGGACGCGGATATGTTCCGACTGTTAATTAATGACCCTCGGTCGCCGACTGGCGAGCGCAATCCCTCGATCGTACGAACGCACGAGGGAAATTCTCACCACGCGGCGATCGCGGATATATTTTGATTCTATTTGATATGAGACGATTCTCTGATCCGTTGAACACATTTTCCATATAACTGTATTGCGCAAGAAAGAAAGAACAGAAAGAATAACGTGTAATATGATAGTGTTAGTCATTTTATATGGGAAAAGAGAGAAATAAACTGTTTTGTAAAAAAGAAAAACCAAAGAAACAGAGCACACATTGTCTGGTAGGTGGTCATCATAATTACGTATTATTAGTTCGGCGATGAGTGACTACAGTATTTCGTAACGATCGCGATGTTAAAATTATAGAGAGATGAAGGGACCAAGAGTGAGAGTGAAGCGAAAAGTAAGCGAAGAGCGCACGGAAGAGGACGAAGGTGATCCGTTGCCCGTGAACGTCGGTGGTGAGCGAGATTCAATCAGATTCAATCTGGCGGACGATCTTGGCAATTTATGCGAGTACATAACGCTACTTTTATTTAAATACACACCTCGAAATTGTAATAGACGGAATGCAGAGGGAAACTGCTGCAGACACGTGACGGATTTGTTTTTTATACCGACCGTTCGCAATGTCCCATGTTCCCTTTGCCATGAAATGCCAATTATACGACTATTATATATGCAATAAAATAACAATTACAATAAGACGGTAATCTTCATGCAACAGGTAGGCGATTGTCGAGCCACGATTACGAAACAACTGTTTCCTTTCGAGTCTGCGTTGCAGTCTTCAGATTACTTATTAGAATCTGCGACTGTGGAGATCAGAGAGATTAGAAGAGAGATTAGAGAATAACGACGAGTCAACTCCGATTTCACCCCTTGCTCAAGTTCCAATCCAATGAAGATCCGCGAGCCTCGATTTCCAGTGTCCTAGTTTGGACACAAACCGAAGGTTTCCTCTCGGCAACGGAGAGCCGCACGAACGGGAATGGGAATCGCGCGTGAAGATCCGCGAGCGCGCCTCCCCACTAGACACTGAAACAAACGCGCAACCCTCTCTGACCAACAGCGCGCGCCGGCACCACCACCAATACACCACCTTGGCCGCAGGAAGCGGAGAATGGTTTCAGGGTTAACAATCCTTGCCTTGCGGTGACGAGGAGGCGAGAAAAGCTCCGGGGAAAAGGCGGTTTTCGCGGACGACGGAGGTGGCCGGCCCGCTCCGCGGTGTCCAGCACCGGGGCCGCCCCCACTCCGCAGCTTTCGATGATCGTGAACGGCGGTGGCGGTGGCCGTCGAGGAGGTAGTGGGCGATCACACCGGTGGTGGTACCAGCGCGCACCAAGACTCCCTTCTTCGTTGCCGCCGCTTTTGCTAGAAAGGTGACTATGCCGCGAAGACAGGAGGCATCGAGCACGCCTCGCGCATACCCAGTCACCTTTCTCTCCTCGTGACCGTAGCATATGTTCTGCGAACGTCCATGGCGCTCCCGCGGTTCTGAACAACGGCGCGCTGCATCGCCGCTGCGGTTCTCGTAGGCAGTCTCGCGCCTTGCGCCGCGCTCTCGCGTCCGAGGGAATCGCGAAGGAGACACCGCACCCCGGGTGGATTATTCGATCGCTTCCCCTCTCACGGGATCACATCGATAACCTCGGCGTACGGAGCTCTTGGGATTCGCGGAGCGGGCCCGAGCGAATTTCGATTGCAACTGACGTGCCGGGAGTCGCGCCGTCGGTTTCTCACCCCTTCGCTTCGTATAATCGGTGTGTGAGAGTCGCGCATAAAGAAAAAGAGAAAACGAACGAAAGAAAGATAGAGAGTGAAAGAGAGTGAAAGAGAGAATGTGAGAGAGAGAGAGAGAGAGAGAGAGAGAGAGAGAGAGAGAGAGAGAGAGAGAGAGAATGATTGACAGATGAAAAGAAAGAGAGAGTGAAGAGACAAAGCGAGACAATTTAATAACGAGCATAATAGCGGGATAATTGAATAATCCACCCCGATTGCTTCTGTCTGCCCAGGACCGGGACGAATCGTGAACCTACGTCAGCGGCCACGAGCGACGAGGGAAGATGATAATCGTGAGCGGTGTGTTGCTGATCCTGGCGGTCGCGTCCAGAGTGGGTGAGTGTGTCACCTTTTCGCGCGTAACTTTGGATATAATTCAGTGGGTGATTTATAAGCGTTTTTACACGGCAGATTGTAATAACGTTATTACGTAGCTGAGATTCTTCGAAGCGTCCGATGAATCCACCCTTAATAACACGATTATCAATAACAAGCGATTCGCTCGCTACGCGAGCGAGCGAGCGAGCGGGTGAGCGAACGATCGATTGAATTTAACGACACTTTCTCGGGAGTGTAAGAGTGTCGCTTAATCGGCGGCCGCCGCCGCGCCGCCGCCGCCGAGTCGGTCGGGTCGGGGATTTATTCCTTCGGACATAATAACACGCTTTCGTGTCTCTCGTTTTGCCGTCTCCGTCTTTCACGATCGCTGTTGACATTTTACACATTAGTAGCACGTATGTGTACGAGGCTTCTGTAAAATCCTAACACTTATCGAAACTCACTAATCTTTCTAATTGCGTCTGGATTTAATGATTGATATAATGACATGATATAATGACATGATATAATGCCATGTAATACGGTATGATACGATATATGATACAAAAAATACGATTTGATACGATATAATATAAGACGTGATACGATCTGAAATACGTATGACAAATTTGCTGTTTACCGTCTGATATAATATGATAATGATATGATATATGCTGACAATAATAACGCCAAGCTGTCAAGATGACGGATTAGCTGAGTTGAGCAATCAGCAGTCGTAATGAATTCGCATGTCCAGACACGATGCGAGCGACCAAAGAGACTATTGAGTTTTTACTGGGAAAATGTTCAGCAGCTTTATTGCAGCTTCATCGCGCACATGCCTCTCCTCTCGCGGTGTATCGTCCTCGTAAACAGTCTCTCGAGCAGTCGCGACTCGCCGTCGACGTAATCCCCGCGGGCGTGGGTTTACGCGCATCTTCGCGCCGATTTATCCCCCTTTCGCGCGATCGTTGCACTTATTCGCGCGCGCGAAATGATCGAATTCTCCGGCGCCGACGGGCGAGCCGTCTTATCGAAATCACGTTCGAAGGTCGCGATAGCGGAGCTATCGTGGAAAATCTTGCGCCTTCGTACCGAGCGAGAGCTCTTCCCCCGATTTTTATTCATCGCTCGTTCACGGCTCTCTCGATGAACACGTGCTTGTGGTGATCGCCGTGCTCCGACGATTTTCACCATGCTGGCCCGACGGCAGTCGCGATGTTTTCTTTCGTTGTGTTTTCTTTGCCTCCTTTTTCGGCCGGCCCGACACATCAGAGAGACCATTTCGAGTGCGCGTATATCCGCGATGCCCGGCGAGATTGATCACGCGTACGAGAACACGTTTCTTCGTTCGGGGTCCGGCTTCGTTCGTCGAACGACTCACTCGAGCAGATTCGTTTTCACCGTATCGTGTGAGCACGACTCGTCGATCCACACGAGACTCTTCCGGCTCATTCGGCTCATTTTAATTGCCACAAAAACGCTCCCACGATCGCGCGCGCTGCTTGTTCGCACGCGCGCGATATCAGCGGCTAATTGCAAATTGACCGGACGCAGAACTAATTGCTAATTTCGCTTTCTCGGACACAATCGCCGCCTGCCTGTCGATATTTTCGCGAAAACGCGACACACCGGAATAAACAGCCACCAAAAGCCTCACCATCGTCGTCGTCGTCGATCGGCGCACGCCACGCCACGCCACGTTTCGCTGGCTTTCCAGCTGTGGAATCGTATGCTCGCGCGCTCGCTCGCGCTAGCTCACGTTAGCCGCGAAAATGTCAGTTTACGTAATGTCCGCGCCGTTGGATAACTGGCACACACATACACGTGCACCCATGTGCACGCACCCGTGCACGCACGGCGACCGGGCCGAAGAGCCCGGGCCGGGGAGTAAAACTCGCGACCCGCGTCCCGAGGATGTCGCTCTGCTTTTCTCTCGTTCTGCTTCTCAATTCGGGTCTTTCGCGGCGCCTTCGTCAACAAAGTTGACAGGTGGCTCTTGCACGGGCGAGTGATGTGCGTTCGTTGGACCGTGCACGCGCCGTTGTGGCGCTTGATCCTTTTACCGGGCTCGGTCGCTCCGATAAGTCGATCGATATCGCGCGTTACTCGAGACGAATTTAACAGGACGAATTAGAAGTCTATCCGGCCAAGCCGCGGAATCGTCGCGTGGCCGGATCTCGGTGGACTTGATCCCTCGACAGGTCGTTATGTAATTAATCAGTGTGTTAATCGCGCGAGAGCACACACAGAGCGGCGAGCCGACGAGCGCGCGCATGGGCCACCCCTCGAATTCATTACGGGGAGTTTCTCTAATAAATCTCTTACACGCACACGCCGACACTGCTCTGCTACTCATTCATAATGAATTCGATTTATTCAAATTAACCCGGAATCCGAAATGAGATCTACGCTGAGCTGTGAATAATTTTAATTTACATGTGTAATGTGCGCGCACGAGAAGTTTAATCGATAAAATCGCGCTCGTGTGTGTGTGTGTTTTTATGTGTGTGCGTGCATGAAGGAGTATTGAGTAATTAGACTTTGGAGGACCATGCATTGTGAAGAATATTACGCGAAAATGATCAGGCGTTGTTGCTGGGCCACGCGGTCGCCGCGCGTCTAAGCGAATCGTCCCGCAGCTGTTGCGCGGTTGATTAGATGATAACGAGTCGAGATATTCGAGCGAGAAGCCTAAGCGGTTAAACGCGTACATAATACACAGTTAGCCGCAAGAAATCTCTTGGCAAACGGTGGTTTCCAACCAACATTTCCAAACAGTGCAGGTCTCTCGGTCGATTCTGCGCGTCTTCGTCTTCGTCTCTTTTTCTTCTCTTCTTCCTCTGCTTCTTCCACTCCTTCGTGCGTTTAGGAAGGAGAAGAAAGACTTTTGCAACTCACGGCGGCATGGTAGGTCGGTTTCGCATGCGAAACGACCGATTTACGAAATCCCGGCGGCGCGGCGCGGCGCGGCGCGGCGGAGTCGCTCGGATGGAGTTCTCCGCGGACACCGCGAGGAACGGCGGTAAATCACGAAGAGAAACGAAAAATTTCACTCACCGGGGGGAAAAGCTATTAGCATGATTAAGCGTCCGCGCGCGACCATTTTGAAAAACCGCCGAAGCGAGCGCGATAACGTTAACGCGAGTTAGTCGGCCGGAGGCCGCTCGCGGACTTTCCTCGTCGGTCAAGTCAACGAAAGTGGTGACGTTTGCGAAATCCGAAAGTGACCATAACGGTCGCCGTGATCCACGACGAGGGTCCCGATCGCGCATATCGCCAGGTCGCCGGACGATCGCGGTTCGATTAATGGCGAGGCGAGCTTGTTCGCCCGCTCGTTTCCTCGTTTCATGCTCGGCGCATGCTGCAGGTTCGAACGAACAAAGGAGAATGTTAACGGTACTGTGACGCTCGCGCGCGCGCTACATTTCGGTAACAACGCGCTGGATGGATGGATGGGCTTGGCCTGGTGGAAACGATCCCTTTTGCGAAATCCGCCGGAGGTGCTCGCTTGCACCATGTGCGGCATTCAGCATTCAGCAGCCCGCTGGTCGGAGACGCAATCAGAAATCTGTTCCCATCGGTTAACGAGGGGGGCAGAGGAAAAAGAGGAGGAGGTGGAGACGCGACGACGCCGCGGCGGGAGGTACCCCTGTTTCTGTTCCCGCGAAATGCATGTCCGCCGCCGTCGCCGTCGCCACGGCTGTGGCCGCGAACGTGCGAGCACGCGCTCGGCGATATTAAATAAGAAGAAAGGAGAAATTCCGATCGCGAACGAACCGTATCGGCGCGCGAATACCCGCGCGTTTCCCGCCACCGCCACCGCCACCGCCGCCGCTGTCGCCGTCGCCGTCATCTTTACCTCGTCGTGCGCTGCACTCGAAGGCAGTTGCGACTGCGGTCGGTTCGCGATTCTGCGATATCTTTTTGCGCGCACTGATACGTACAGGCCCACGGTTCTGATCGGATACGAATTTGCATTCGATGAGGAGATATATTTCGACGTCCCACTATTTTCTCGGGGCGAAAGATACTTGTTTAACAGGGGAATTACATGCGGAAGGCCGTTTTCAAGGCCATTTTTACGAATTTTTTTAACAGAAATGTTCAAAAGATCAATGGACTTGAAAGTTTTACAGTGTATTCATTAATGTTCAAAGTATAAAATAAATTTTATTGAATCACAAGAACCGATCCAATTTGTAATTATAGATAAAAATATGCAGTCATCTGTTTGCGAGCTCTATGTTTGCTGTCGACATACGTAATTCCGGGCCTCTCACTACTCTGAAGTCAAAAAATAAGAGATTTTAAAAATATACGGTTGCCATTATATTGCCCGTACCAAAATGAAGGCAGTGAAGCCAAGTTTGGGAAAATAATAACTCTTCAAAAATATTTTCGAAAATGAAACTTTTTTCAACTTGTAATTATGTTTAAAAAAAATGAATAAAATATAATATAACTGTGTTCGAGGTAGGGCTGAAAACTACACGTCTACTATATATTGTAAAAATATTGTATATCGTGTAAAAATTTCAAGTTATTCGGTTCAGTAGTTTTTGCATAATCGTGTCGAAAGTTTAAGAAAACGGTGTTTCCAGATAAACGCGTTTAAACTTTTATGTGTATATTCCACATAGATAGTAACAAATTTATATTTTATACTTTAAACATCAGTGAATACATTATGAAAATTTCAAGTCCATTGATCCTACCGTTTCTGTTAAAAAAATTCGTAAAAATTGGTTTGGAAAAGGTCTGCTGCGCATGTAATCCCCCCTTTAATAATTTCCTGCTAATGGCAATTTTTACGATCGCGATGTCTTACGCTCGTCGATCGATCGCCGAGTGAACTTTCCAACGACCACCGGCGATTTCTTGAGGCAAAGCGCGACCGGGGCCGTATTTCTCGGACGTTTGAGACAATTGCTCATGGGGAAGCCGACGAATCGCGGCGTCTCTCTCTCTCTCTCTCTCTCTCTCGAGGCACACGGCGAGGAAATTCACGAATAATC